CTTACGTGGTCAGACTCCGAGAAGTTCTTGTAGCGAGGGTCCTCGCGGATCAGCTTCCGGGCCTTCTTCCACGGCATCACCAGAGAAATCTGGAGGGGAGGAGAGGGGATGACAATGGGAACAGAAAAAAGAGAGAAGTGGCGATTTGTACCAAGCCAAGACTAAAGGAACGGGATCTTTAAGAGCTACAAAATCTTACTAAGCACTGCGCAATAGAGTAAAAGGATAATATAGCTATTCGAGAAAATCAACATGCATTCTCAACACGAGTGGACTGTAACACCCCGATGTTTAACCTGCGAGGTCTCCTCCAGCAGTCTCCTGAACTGCAATCTCTTCTTCTCCACCAGACTGTCGCAGTGCTCCTGGTACAGTTTCTCCTTCTCGTCGGCCTCCAGGAGACCCATGGAGGCCCAGCGGGAGTCCTGTCGCAGCTGTCGCCGGGCATCGTTCCACGGCACACCAGTACTGCGAATCTACACACACACACACACATACAAACCACTGAACCACTCTCTAAGGAAACTGGAGACCATGCAAGCAGTTTAACCCCTGAAATAAGGATATCTCGGTAAACTTTCTTCTGTCCCATTGGTGTCCATATTAAAGGTGGCTCCACTGTTTCAGAGCTGCGAGACTCGGTAAATGTCCTTTGAACCATTCTAAGCTACGTATATAGTATGTATATAATATACACCCACACGTAAATCTTTTCCCCTCCAGCAATACTGCACGTTATGCAATGCATGGTGTGTGTGTGTGTCTTACCGTGTCGGCCAGCATGGCCTTGAACTGCTGCAAAGCTTCCGACCTTCGCAGCTGGTCCCTCTCCCTACCCCACTCCTTCTCCTGCGCCGAGCGACTCATCTGAACCTCCCTCTCCCTCTCCTTCAGACTGGCCTGGATACGCTCCTCCCTCTCCCTGCTCTGGTGGTCTGCTGTTCCCGCCTGCTGCCACAAATAAAAGCCCCCGTAACAAACTTTCTCTCCCAACATTCTCCCTCACTCAGAGTGCAGTACAAAACTGCAAGATAACCCCTCAATTCCTCATTCCCACGCAGAACAACATCTCCAACATTTGAAAAACGTACTTTTCGAATGCGAGCAAAAACAAAGCTGGCAACACGACATATGCATAGACACTTATATAGTAAATATCTTCGTATAATGTGTGTTTCTGGCTATGCCCAGTGTATTCTCCCCCCTTTCTCTCTCAGATCAGAAAGCCAACCAACCTTGCCCGTACTGCCAGTGGCCGAAGACTTGACGTACTCCAGGAACCACTCCTCTCGCTGACTGCTGCCGCCCGACACTGCCCGGTAGCGAGGGTCTCTCTCCAACCCTCCCTTTACCTTCCTCCACTGAGAGGACTCCGTGAGAGAGCCGTCCTCAGACAACATCTCCATGAACTCCGCCTTCACCTGGAGCAAAACCACTCCAAGTAAATGTAACTGGCTGGGGCTTTTAGCTGAAACATACATAGCATGATTGTTACTGTGCATACATACATAGGTGTTCTAAACTGAACCTTTGGCAGACATACATACAAGAGGTTTAATAGAGAGGAAAAAAGACCTTGTCAGTTGGTTTGAGGTGTGGTGATGAAGTGTGGTCGATGAGCAGTTCTGTCTCCTCCCCTCTGTCGTCCCCGACCGGTCGAGGAGGAAGCCGCCGCCGCCGTCTTCTTGAGCTCCTGGAGGTAGTCGGAGAACAGCTGCTCCCTCTCTCGCATCTTCTCCACCGCCTTGAACCGCTCGTCTCTCGCATGTCGCTGGGCAAACTCACTGAAACTGGACCTGCATACACACACACACACACACAGTGGGAAGATGAGCATGTATAGGTCGAGGTTTTCTTCAATCCCCACATGAGGTCTGCTGTAGTAAGTTATATGACCACATGCAGGCACAATATACTTCCCCTTGCTCAGATCAGTGTGTGTGTGTGTGTGTGTGTGTGTGTGTGGTAATACTCCATTTTGTGTTGATGTTATTACTCCATATGTACTTGGAAGTGGGGTATTACTCCGTACTTGGGGTGGAGTTTGGAGTCCTCCAGGAGTTTCCTGAACTCGTCCCTCTGGGCCTTCAGCTTGCTGCGTTTCTCCTTCCTCTCCTCCTCGGCCCGCGACCGTATGAACTCCTCGAAGCAGCTCTTCCTCTCCCTGGAGTTGAGGAGCATGTAGCGAGGATCAAACACAAATTTCGGCAGCTCCTTGTCCCACGTCGAGAAGGCAGACACCTGTGTAGATGAGCGAGGGGCAAGTTTGAGGTACCGTATTTCGCGAGAGGTTTACTCACTCCTCTCTCTAGAAGCATCTCCTTGAACTCCTCCTGTCTCTCCTCAAGCGTCTTCCCCGATCGAATCATGGCCGCTTTCTTCTCCGCGTCCACGGCTTCTGCCTGCACCATCGTCATGGTCTCCACTGCCTCTCCGCCGACAGAGATGTCCAGCTCTCCTCCTTCCATCTCGTCCTCCTCCTCCTCCCCTCCCTCGCCTTCGACTTTCACACGCTTCGCAGATGGAGCTGAGAACATTTGATAGACAGTGAACAAAACGACTGAGATTGCAAACTTATGTAGCTGTTACTGTATAAAGCAGTGATTAGGCTGCACTGCGGGAAGAAGCGGAAATTATGAAAGAAACATTGACAGAGGAAAGTAAGTACATACATAGATCTAGCAATTCTAAACCGCGTTAACCTGATCCCAATTACGTAGGAAGTGGAAAATTAGGATCACACATCCCCCGACCACATTTCTAAATTCTAGAAGTGCCCATGTGAAGATGGCCCTCACCTTCTCCGTCGGGACCATCGTCGATGATCTTCTCCACCAGTGGGTTGTCCTTGAGCTCCTCGGGCATAATCCACAGAGAGACTCGGCTGGTCACGTCGAAGAAGAACTGTCTCCTGTCACTGGTCCACACCACCATCCACGGCGTACCTGACACACACACACACACACACACACACACAGAGAGAGAGAGAGATGCAAGGGGTCAAAATGAGGTAGCAAGGCAAAGCAAAACACGGCACACATGCTCAGTGAGTGGTTGACAAGTGGGGTGGTAAAGCTGCAGTAAGTTACGTACTACTGTAAGTAAGCAAGCAAGCTCCGACTGCCGGTAGAATAGTGAGAGGGGTACACCATATTGCTTACAGCAGACTCATCCTTGGAAATGCAGACAGTTGGAAAACACACAATGCAGTGTATAATACCTGGAACAGGGTACGCTGGCAGTAGGTCTAGGGCCTTTCGGCTCCTCCTTCTCTGGCTCCAGCTGTGCAGTCTCAGTATATTCAGACGCTCAGCCTCCCTTGTCTCATTCTCAGTCTCTCCCTCGCCAGCAGCTGCGGCTGCACCTGACTCCACTGAAGACGTAGCACCACCACCACCAGACTCGGTTGCCTCACCAACCTAACATAAAACGAGAGTTAATGAATGAGAGTTTGACATGAAAAAAGATCTCACTTCCATTTTTTAAAGACGGGTTCACTATAGTGATGCAAGCACTTGTGTGCATGTATGGTAACGTTGCAACGCAGCGCAGCTTGGCACAACACAAGGTAATGGAGTGCACAGAAAAGGCCCACTATTCGAGAAACAGTCAATTTACGCAACATATACAAGAGCTTGCATCATGATTGTATAATATCTTCAGTTTTTCAAGGATTCGGAATCAACACCAACAACTCACAGAGGATCTTTGTCGACCTCCATGGCTTCTGGGTCCCTCGCAGCATCTCCGCTGCTCTCTCGTCTTCCTCCGTCCGCTCCCCGCGGACCAGGACCTCCTGCAGATGGCGGTGGGGTGTTCAGTAGGTGACTTGGAGGAGGAGGAGGGAATCGAGGCTCCATGACGTGAAGAGATAGTCCCTGGTTCATTGCTGGATGAGGTCCCGGAGGAAACCGGGGGTTAAACGGAGGTCGTCCGGGCTGGAACATAGGCGGAGTCGACATCAAAGGGAGGCGGGGTCTCGGGGAGTGCAAAGGGAGGCGGGGGTGTGGCATCTGCTGATGGGCACCGCCTCCTGGCTGTGCTCCGAGATCTGGTGGGAGGGGCATCACGAGGTCAAAGTCCGTCGGCTTCTCCCAGCCGGAGGCCCGAGTGATTTTGTTGTAGAAGTACGGCTTCCCCTCGGGCGTCTGAAACTCTGACCACACCCGGGTGGGCACCAAATGGGAAGCATTTGGCATCCCTCCCGGCGAAGTAGGTCCAGGTGGGAAGGAGCGAGCCGGGGGTGGACCTGAAACAGAAATAAACCATTGAGGAAGGATCTTCTCCCCGTGAAACCTTATCCCCCCTTCAAATCATACACTAGAACCAATGTAGCGCATGATTTGCAGATTCGGCCACGTGAGTGAGAGGGAGAGCGTGTTAACTATAGGCATTTTTACGATTACGTGTGTGAGAGGGAGAGCGCGTTAACTACGGCCATTTTAACGAGAGTTGGTGTACCTTGTTGTGCGGGATGAGGTTTGATCTGTGCATTCTGCGGACGGTCCCACGTTGTCTTCCTGGTGACCGGGTGCGAGAAGTAGACCCTTCCGTCGGGCAACTTGTGCTCGAACCACAGCTCTCCCCCCCGATCTTCTACATCTCCCTTCATCATCAGCTCTCCCTTTGTCATGGGGGGAAATACACAATCATGTTTCATCTGACAGACGGTGACTGTGTATTAGTATTCAAAAGGTTGCCTTCCACGCATGATTTTTGTCTCTCCATGCTTTAGTGTCTATTACAAGACACGGTTTTGAGACACCTAAAACACGTGGTGATGTAATGTACCTGTTGCTGTGGAGAAGGAAGCAAGGGAGGAGCAGTTTCTTTGGGAGAGGGAGACGGGGAGATAGCATTCCGAGGAGAAGGCTGCTGCTGCTGAGGAGGAGGAGGGCCAGGAGAAGGGGTGGACAAGGAAGAAGGCTGCTGAACAACATGTGGAGTTGTGGGGCTAGGGGCCTGTTGGGGGCTGGAGGATGTCTCGCTGGTCGCAGGTGTAAATTGTACCGGAGGAGGTATCGACAGGCCACCCACAGATTGTTCTGGTGGTAATCGGACCACGCGAGGTGGCTGCTGAGGTGGTACAGATATCGGGGGAGGGGGGCCTCTGGGGGGCAGCATGTTCTGGCCCCCCAGAAGTGGGGGACCCGCAGCAAGAGGAGGATAAGGAGGACGAAACTGCGGGGGAGGCGGTCCCACTGGAGGAGTTCCATGACCCGAGGGGGTCAGGTGTCTGATTATATTTGACAGGGGGCCGCTCCCCGAGACTTGAGGAGCCACCGAGATTGGTGGGTTCCCTGTGGGGGGCTGGGGGAACGGAGTGCTGATTGGGGGGCGAGCCTGCGGCGGAGGGAGACCGGGGGGACGAGAGAAGTTCAGGGGAGGGCGCTGGACAGCTCCTGGCGGTAGGATTTGCAGAGGTGCAGTGTGGGGTGGGGGTTGAGAAGAGTGAAGATGGAGGACTGGCGGACCCGGCGCCAGCGGAGGTCGAGCAGCAAGTGGACCATTCGGGGGAGGTGGTCTCGAGAACACGGCTCCAGCGTTCTACATTGACAGGGTCAGAAAACAATGTGTCAATCATCGTACAGTGCACACTATCATACAAAATGTGTACTCACCTGCACGTGGACAAACACACATTCATGCAACAAGGCCTATAGATATATACACCAAGGTGATCCCAGCTTCATACTTAGCAAATTGCGTACAACACACATATACCCACGGACAGACAATGTTACTCAGTAGTGTGCAAGCATTATAAGACCAGAAGTTAGCCAGAAGTGACGAAATGTAGGTTGGTTTGGAGAGAGGGTTTAAAAACAACTGATGGAAAGAGAGAGAAAGGGGACCTACCTAAGTATGCAGACTGAGTCTAAAGATACAGAAATGGCAGGCCCTTCCTCTCCAGCGTGAAAGGCCAGCTGACTGGACTGACACCCTTCAAGACTGACTGAGCAGCAAGCAACACAGCGGGCAGTAACACAACACATCACACACACAAAGATATTTGTACAACACACTCCCCCTTACTACACCGAGCTGGTATTGTGGTGATACCGCACTAACCACTATGAACTTACAGTGGCAGGCGGTCCAGACTGGGAGAAATGAGGTACTCCTGCAGGAGAAAATGTTAAAAACATTAATTCAGGAATGATTGCATTTTAACAACAGGCACCGTGCAGAGATAAAAGATAAAATACACACAAAACAAAGGCATATATACATAATATTGTACATGCACAAATAAAGTACCCATGGGATGGATCAATACTGTTGAATTTCTTCACTAACCCTGAGGTTTAAAAAATGAAGGGTCCAATCTCATTTCAAGGTGTTCTTTTTCCCTGACATTATATATACTACATACACTATTATCATGCCGAAATTTTGATTACCATTATTATACACGTCATGCGTTTCAGTTATTGGTGGATCTCAAGATCCTTCTTAACAACTCGAGCTACGAGCAGATGAAAACCATCACACCATAAACAGGGAAAGAGCAGTACACGGGTGCATACGTGCAACTGCGTGCGTACAAAATACAGATGGGAGAATAGCTAACACACGGCACAAGCTCCTACCGTGGGCATCCGTGCGTGCAAGACACAGACAGAGAGAGGGAATACGGACTGACAGTGGGGTACACGGCCCAGCTAGCCGGGGAAAGGGAGGGGTGGTTGTTGGTGGTGGTGGTAGGCACCTGCTTGAGGCCGCGGAAGAGACCCTGCTGCGGGAGCCTGGGGAGGAAAGAGAGGGGAGGGACCCGTGGTGGGAGGGGAGCCCAGCAGAGGCCGGGTCAGGAGGGGGACCGTAGCTCCTGGCACACCTCCGGGATGAGGGGGCCTGCGGGTGTAGAGGACTGGGCATCAATTAGAATACACCCACGAGGACCGGTCCACACGCAAACTAGCGTACCCCTTTATTTCGAGCATGAAAGATAGAGCAGCACTGGAGAGTGGGCAACGTACAATGCAGGTACGCCGTACGATCCCAAAAAGTGCTCAAGGGAATGGGAACGCACATCATCACTTGCCTGACATTGCCGGTTGGCGACACGAAATGTGGTTTTTGATCGCCTGCATGGACCATGGGTTGTCCGGAGAGAACTGCTGGGTGAGCCTGGGGCGAAGAACCGTTCCCTGCAGGCGACGGAATTCCTCCAGCCGAGGTCGCCATTTTTTATTGCACGCTTTGCTAACACATTCTGCGCATGCGTGTAGTTAATTCACTACGCTCGCGCCCTCTGGTCTTCGGCCCTGAATTCTTGCAGTGCAGTGCGTAGAAGAGCAGGAGGTCGATCTACAATGGTGGTAAGTTTTCACTCAACTTGAAGCTTGATATGCCGAGTCAGTGGCCGATGATCTATGGGCATAAATCCAGCGCTGATAGCTATGTGTATCTGTGTGCTTGTGTGTGTGTGTGCAGGACGCAGTGGTAAAGTCGTTCGAGGTGACGGTGCAAGACATGCGGGAGATTTCCAAGAGGCTCACGGCGGCATGTGAGAAGGGTCTCGAGAACGAAGAGAAGGCAGTGGTGAAGATGTTCATCACGTACGTGCATTCCCTGCCGGACGGGACAGAGGAGGGTGACTTTCTGGCCCTCGACCTCGGAGGCAGCAATTTTAGAGTCCTGCAACTGAGTCAGTCTCGGTTAATTTCCGAGGTGTATACATTGACATGCTTGTGCGTGCGTTAGGTTTGGAACGAGGCGGTAAGATGACGGCAGAGCCCAAGGTGGAGGAGATGAGAATCAGCAAAGAGAAGAAAGAAGGGAATCAGGAAGAACTGTTTGACTTTATCGCCGAGAGCATGTCTGACTTCTTGAAGAAACACGGAATCACTCGGCGACTGCCTCTCGGGTTCACGTTCTCCTTCCCTGTCGTGCAGACAAGTCTCACGGCTGGCACACTCAAGAAGTGGACCAAGGATTTCAAGGCGGCTGGGGCAGAAGGGAGAGACGTGACACAGATGCTTCAAGAGGCAATAGCCAGACGAAAGGTATACAAAGTGAGGTATAACGTTTAGTCTCGTGTGATTAGGTTACAACCCTATAATTTCACTCATGAAACTTTTTTTCGCTGTAAGAATGGTCTCCACCCACAAAATTTGTACAGAAAACTTTCGTTGTTGGCCCAGGAGCCGTGAAATTTTAGCAGTTCTATAGAGTATCATCTCTCTCCCTGTCCTCCATTTAAATGCATACAGAGTGGTGATGTGAGTGTTGATGTGGTTGCCCTGCTGAACGACACGACTGGAACACAACTGGCAGTTGGGTTCGAGGACCCCAACTGTCACGTTGGACTCATCCTCGGGACGGGGACCAACGCCTGCTACATGGAGAAGACAGCAGCCATCCCGAAGTTTACGGGCGATCGCTCCAAGTTCCCCGACGTGATTGTCAATTGTGAATGGGGGGCTTTCGGTGAAGATGGATCCATGGACGACTGGCTGACCGACTATGACAAGGCAGTCGAGGAAAAAGTGATAAATCGCGGTCAGCAGATGTGAGTTCTCAATATTGAGCTGTGTTGTTGCATAACATTATGTGCTCTGACAGATTTGAGAAGCTGATATCGGGCAAGTACCTGGGTTCCGTTACGCACGCCGCTCTGCTGAAACTGACCCGAGACAAGGTTCTGTTTGGAGGCGTCTGCTCTGAAAGGTTTTCAGAACTCGTCATCGATCGTTTCGACAGTGCCTTCCTCTCTGTTATCGAAGGAGAAAAGTGAGCAGTTGAAGTACACATAATTATATAGACGTTTGTTGTGTTGATATTGCTCTGTAACGATGCAGTGGCATGGAGAAGTGTAAGGAGCTGTTCAAGAAGGAGTTTCCAGATGGAAGTGTCGGAGTCCGACTGCGAGATTGTCAGGCGAGTGTGTGAGGCGGTGTCCACCAGGGCAGCTCGACTGGCTGGGGCTGGCATTGTGACCCTGGTCGAAAAGATTGGGAAGATATCGAGTTGCACCGTCGCTGTGGACGGCTCGCTCTACAAGAAACATCCAAAGTTCTCGCAGAGGTATAATTTATAGTCATGTGTCTGCACAAACTATGTTTATAGAAGGTTTGTGTTTCTCTAGGATGAAGGATGCCATGAACGAGCTTGCCCCGGGAAATGGAATTGTGATGAAGCTCTCTACTGATGGTTCCGGTCGTGGAGCAGCAGTAGTTGCAGCCGTTGCCTGTCGACTGCAGCAGCAAAATCAGTAGACCCACTTTTTACCTGTTTGGTGTCTGAATTGAAATGAGTCGATCTTGAGCGCATGCGCGTGGCTACATTCGCGAGGCGAGCTCTACTTGTTGTCCGACCGACCAGCATGGCTGCACGTCTGCCTGCGCTCGCTCCACTAGAGCTCCCCGAGGTAGTAGAGACAGGGAGAGTGCTGGGCAAGGGCGCTTACGGGGAAGTTGTAGAGGTGAAGGTCCTTGGGATGAAGTAAGTTCCCGGTGGTTGTGCTCACTCACGTGACAATATTCGCGCGACTCCGGTCTCAGGTGTGCTGCAAAATCCCTGCACCGGGAGCTACTGTTCAACGAGTATGAGAGGCTCAGCGATCTCTACGACCGATTCATCGACGAGTGTCTCTGTCACAGCAAGTTGAAACACCCCAACATTGTCCAGCTAATAGGAGTTCACTTCGCCGACCCCGAGCTCCCCGTGCCCATCATCGTGATGGAGTGCCTCCCCATGTCTCTCTCGCAGTGTCTCGACAAGTATCAGAGACTGCCTCATTGCATGGAGTGCTCCATTCTGCTGGATGTGGCGAGTGGTCTGCGCTACCTACACGGGCAAAGTCCACCGATAATGCACCGTGACCTCACCGCCAACAACGTCCTCCTCACTAGTCACATGCAGGCCAAGATCAGCGACCTCGGACAGGCCAAGTTACTGGAACAATCGCCCACTCGGAAAAAGACCACTGCTCCAGGCAACAACTGCTACATGCCGCCGGAGGCTCTCGTCTCTAAATCCGACTACAGCACGAAAATCGATGTCTTTTCGTTTTGGAGTCCTGATCCTCCATGTCGTGACACACCAGTGGCCGTTCAGGAGAACGTACCTGGATCCAAACACCAGGCGAGTGATGCCACCCACCGAGGTCGAGAAGAGGAAAGTCTACCTCGATAAGTTGGAGAGAGAGAGTCCCCTGAGGCTGCTGGCAGAGATCTGTCTCAGCGATGACCCTACCAAACGTCCAGAGACTGTAAAAATCGTGGAGGAGCTCACAAAAGTCACCCCTGACCCACCATTTGACAACACACTGGAGATGGCACTCGCTCTCGAGGCAGCGTCGGCCAAAGCCCAGCTGTTGGAGACGCGACTTCGCGAGATAGACATCGAAGTGAGAGCTGTTGTTGGGGAGAGCTCTCCAGACTCACAAGAACTTGCATCCCCCAACGAGTCGACACTCGCCGAGGCCTACATTCAGCTGCAGGACATAGCTGCTGTGAACCGGGCAGTTCTCACTGGTGCCGGCTCTTCAGAGCTCATTGTGGGATATAAGTGCCCTACCAACAACAGGAAGAACAACATGCAGATCTCACTGCCGCAGTCCTCAGGGAGTATGGATGTCATTGTTTGCGCTCCTCTCAGTATCCACTTTACCGGAACACTCGTCCGCACAATAGAAAGCATCAAGGAACCGTGGGGCTTGGTGGCAGGGTATCGGGATCAGGTTTTCGTGACGAACGGCCGTGGGTATAAAGGGGTACTTTCGTACAACAGGATGGGGGAATCGTGCGGGGAGTATATCCCTTCTCTTTACTCGTATGAGAAAGTAGTGGAGGGAAAGTGTTACTATCCACGGGGCATCGACATGGACGGGGAGGGTGGCTTTATCTTGGCCGATACTTGGTGCTACAGAATCCAGCGGTTCAGACTCAGCTCTGACTTGAAGGAAGCAGAGTTTGAGAAGAGTGTGGGGTCGAGAGGGGAGGAAGAGGGACAGTTCAATCTCCCGCAGTCCGTTCGGGTGAGCAAAGAAAACGGAAATGTCTACGTCTGCGACAAAGACAACCACAGGATACAAGTCTTTGATCGAGAACTGCAGTTCAAATCCAGCTTTGGCGAGAGAGGAGACGAGCTATCAAACTTCCACTATCCTCAGGACATTGACTTTGACAGCCAGGGAAACATCTACGTAGCCGACTGCGGCCACTACGTCGTGAAGGTTTTCAACCGAGATTTTGAGTTCCAACGAAGCGTCGGTGGAGAGGGCCACGGGAAGGGTACCTTTCATTACATCTCGAGCATCTGCATCGACAGTCGTGACTACCTCTACGTGACCGACAAGACGTGGAACAGCGTGCAGGTGTTTGATCCGTCGGGGGAGTTTGTCATGCAAGTCCAGCTCCCGGGGTTGAATCAGAAGAGCACTGCAGAGCCCTGTGGCGTTACGGTAGACGAAGAGGGATTTGTGTTTGTGAGCTGCAAGGCCACAGGCTGTGTACACATTTACAAATAACTCTGACATTATAGTGTATATAGTGTGTTTATGAGCAGATAAGCGCTTGCACAAATCTAGAGAATCTGGAGTTATAATAGTTTTTGTTGATAATGTATGATTGTACAGTTAAAAATATCTGGCATATACTTTTCTATTCTATGAGGAGTCACTGGAGGAGGAGGTTCTGGTAAACGTGGCCATCACGTCTTCCTTGGGTCTGCACACAGGGAGCACCTTGTACCTCAAGTCTTGCTCTGGGACCACCTCCCACGTGAAATTCTGGAGGAGCTTCTTCAACATCTCCTGCAGACCATAAATTTAGACCTACTATTATAGCAGTGGTGTTGGTAAAAATTCTCACTCTGAGTAGCGTGGTAGACAAATACCGCCCAATGCACTGCCTGGGGCCTCCACCAAATGTCCAAACCTTTTCACGATCACCTGCATTCCTGATGTGGAGAAGTCTTTAAAATTAGGGTCACAAACTCTTAGAATGCTGCATGGACGTACTGCTGTGACCATCTCTCTGGTTTAAAGCTGTCGGGCTCTGAGAACACAGCCGAGTCTCGATTGGCCAGGTACGCACAGTACACAACTGACATGCCTTCTGGAATACGATAGCCGGCAACTACACAATCCTGCACCGTATATAGTAAAAAGCACGGTCTGTCTGACCAAACTACTCCTTATACCTTCGTGCACACTCTCCTGCCTCCTATAAATGGTGGCCACAGTCTCTGTGCTTCTAGAACAATGTTGTCCAGCAATGAATCATCATTTGAACACTCTCTCCATCTGGCCTGATGGACATTAACTTTGTTATAGGAGAGAGAAGAGCATACCTTAGTGTGTTTCTTACATTCTCTGGCTTGGAGAGCTCCAGGACCAGGGAGGTCAGGATTGAAGCAAAGGCCTTGGGGATGAGGGCAGAGACAAAGAGCAGCAAATGTCTGAGTCCAGCTTCCTTATCTTCAGTGCAGCAGGCTTCAATACTAGATGCTATTCTGGAAGAGAATATCATTTGCTCTGATGCATGCGCTTCATTACTGACAAACTAACGCTGAAGGTCTTGATTTGATGATGTCTGCAATGATAGCCTTCAGCCTGTCTTTGGCAGAGAGTGCCTTGCTATAGCCTGATTGCCAGAGGGACCAGGGGCCCCTCATGTTGACGGGCACAGAGATGATTCCTCTCCAGTGCAGTGTCATGAGTTCAGCGATTACCTGGGAGTCTTCAGGACTTGTGTGGTGGCTGAGAAACAGAGCTATGGAGAGTCTCGTTGCTAGCAACTTGAATGTCTTGTAAACCACCACTGGTTCACTATTGACATTACAACGTCACAGCAGTATGGTGTAAATAGGTTCAGACTCACTTGGTAGAGAAGTTACGAAAGAATTCCTCGACAACGCTGCAGGTGCAGTTGATGGAGGGATAAAAAACAAACATTGAAAAAATTAACCTCTTGGTTTCCTCCAAGCATCTGGCAACAGACTCATGGTCAAACAAGCTTTCCAAAGATTTCCGCATACTGTGCCATGCATCTCCTGAAAAACTAAATTATTGACAACAACATTTATTATGCCAAAACGAACCTTCCAGAAATAAGACATTATCGTCAAAGAGCTCGTACATAAACTCCTTGTAGCCCATTGAGAAGTGCTGCCACTCATCTGTTGCAGTGAAAGGATGAGGATGTTTGTGACAACTGCACCCATACACATGTGCAGGCTTCAGGTGATATTATAGAGAAAGCATACATAGGTGCTAAAACGCCGTTTCTTGCCTGACATATTATACTGTCATCAGAGAGGCTATACCATTCAGCAGACTTTGCACGGCTTTGTTTGAAGTCAAGAAAACGGTGCGTTTGTTGATGATCCGCCCTAGGAAGACGTCCCCGTAGGTTTTTCTCCGCTTCTCCAGGTACTCGCGAGGTGTCTTATAGAATTCTATAGACTCGTCGCCGAGTAGGGAAACTCCAGCACGGCCGGGGACCTGCATAGCGAATTCGGCGGACGGTCGGTTTTGATCGCAGTCTAGTCGTGACGTGATCTGGTCCGAACGTCCGGGTTCACGCCGTCAACTAACAACCGCGATCGCACGCGCGCCCGCACTACCGGCAGTACACGGAACTTAGTCCGTAAACTCCCTCCGTGTTTGCCGTGAGGTCACGACCTCCCCTTTCAAGGCAAGCCTTCAGCTTTTACAACTGCGAGGAAGGATGTCGAGACCTAAGCTGAAAGGGGAGCTGTGGAGCGTGGCTCTGCGGATCCTTCTAGTGTCTGTGAACGTGTTCGTATTCCTGCTGTGCCTGGCGGTGTTCGTGACGGGGGTTTGGGGTCGTGTGGTTGAGAAGAGCTACCTGGATGTCACGGGCGAGCCTAGTATCACCAGAACCTCCCTTTCAGTGGCCGTTGTTGGAGCCTGCGCCTCCCTTCTGACTCTAATGGGCATCCTGGGTAGCGTCCTCTACCAGTCAATATGGGGTCGGATGGTCCTCTCAGTGTACGCGTTCGTACTACCGTTCGTGATAGTGGCCGAAGTGGCAGCTGGTGTGGCGGCCATCCAGTACAGAAACGGCTTGGAGAGTCGGACGACGGTCGATACCGTAAAATCCCTCAACAGCACCTACGCTGACGGGGACAAGACCAGCTGGAACCATTGGGACCAGTTTCAGACAGACATGGAGTGCTGTGGTGCAAGAAACTACACCGACTACTACGACTTGTTCGGTCGAAACATCGTGCCTCGCTCGTGCTGCACTAACTCTGCTAGGCACAGTGGACAGTGCGCCAACTATTCCAACACACTGAATTTGGCAGACATACACAGCAAGCCCTGCCTGGACGTTATTGTGCCCCATTTAAAAACTGTCATGCTGGAAATAGCCATAGTGGCCATTGCAATTGGTGCTGCTCAGATAGTTGGGATTGTAGCGTCTGCGATTGCAATACTGTGGACTGCTTTCTTGGAGGAGAGAAAGACCCACTCTTACAAGAGGTTGGATCAGAGGACTAGCGAATCGTCTGACTACAGTGCTACATGATGGGTTGTTTGCCTGGTAGTTTTGAGTTGTAGTTTGTTTTTATTGTGTGTGGTGATGGTCTGTGTGTGTGTGTGTGTGTGTGTGTTTGTACGTGTGCTTTGTGTGGTTACTGCTCTGTCCGTAATGCATAGTCTTTTGTGCGTCAACAGTGTAAACTCGTCAAACAATGGGCTTCTTTTGCGCATGCGTGGTCGTTAGTATCTTTTCAGCGACATGTCGTCAGCGATGCGGTTACTCCCTGGAGGTGTGCTAGTGGTCCTGTGCTCGGTTCTGACGACCGTCGCGCCTTTCTCCAGCTCATTTTATGGATACACAGGCTGCGGTGTGTCCGGATGGCCGGTACCCGAGCCTCCGGGTGGAGCCAAGCTCAGCCAAGTACATGCCATCATAAGGTCTCCTGCCCGACCTTCTCTATCACTTGCGTCACATACATATTACCCGACTGCGTGCGCTGCAGGCACGGTGACCGGACTCCTTGGACGGGAGACGCGTGCTGGCCGAATGATACGGCAGTGTGGATCTGTAACCTCAACAGTGCCCAAATACCCATGTACTATAACACGCAGTATGGGCCTGTTGTCCCCAGACTCTATAGAAAAGGTTTGCAATAATGGCCCATGCAGGCCCATGCAGCACCATACATCTTGAATACTGGTTCTTGTGACAGTGTTTGGTTTTGGTGGAGAGCCTCTGAACGGGAACTGTTCTGTGGGTCAGCTGACAACCATTGGCTTTCACCAGCAACAGGTCAATGGTGGCTCTCTCAGAAAGGCCTACGTGGACACTGGGTTTCTAAGCGATGTCATATCACCTTCCGAGATATACCTCAGGAGTGACAGTGGGTGTGCCATACACTAATACAAGTCTGTGTGACCTCTTGTTCCTTTTGCAGACGAGCCGCGTACACAGCAGGTATATACTGACTATTTGGAAAAAAAACTTCTTGCATTCCTTACAAACTGAAGTGAAAACTGTGTGATGTACGTGAACAGAATGCTCACCTTGTCAGTCTGCAGAGGCTCTGATGCTGGGAATGTACCCGCCAAGTGGCTCCACAACAGAAGTTGTTGAACTCCACACCCTGGACACTGTGTACGACTACATCATTGCCAATGCCCAGTAGGCCACCTCTCAAATAAAGCACACCACGCGGTGATTTTCCTGTTCCTTCGCAGACTGTGTCCCAAGTTTGCCATGTATCAGGCCGAGTTCCTGAACAGTTCCGTGTGGAAAGAGCACCAGAATATTACAAATGCCGTGCTGAATGCAATCAGCCAAGCCGTCAACTTTCCAGTCTGTAAGCACAGCAACCTCTCCTTGAAAATGTAAAGCTGCTTACCTGTGCTGATTTGAGCACAGCAGGTGCAGGCAACACTCAGAGCATGCGCATTGTGCAATGCTGCCTCCTGAGAAACGATAAAGCAACCTCCGTGCACAGATTAGAATGTCTTGAACGTGATTTCCCCCCCACCTGCAGCTGAGAGTGACCTGGACCATTTCTCAGACTGTCTGCAGACCTATCACTGCCACAACCTGTCGTGGCCCCAGGGAATGACTGATAAACTATACGACATGTCTTGGGACGAGTTATCCTGGCAGATCTTCTCCCAGTATGCCTACCCATCCGTGCAGGCCAACACACAAGTCGGCATTGGGTTCCTCTTGAAGGAGATATGGCAGGTCCGTATGTGTCCAGTTCCCCTTGTGCCTCTGAATATAGTACTCTGTTTTCTTTCAGAATATGAATAAGTCAGTTGAGGGCCAACAGATACAGAAGTTTTTGTTGTATTCAGGTCATGACACCACACGTGAGTCAATATAATGTGCCTCACATACTGGGAACAGGTCTTTATGAGCTCTTCATGTATAATAGTGATTCCTATACTGGTTGCTCTGCAAGTGGACACCATGGAATGGCCACCCTATGCCTCTATGATGCTCATAGAGCTGTTCGATATATCGGGAAAGAACTATGTGCGGATCACCTACAATGGACAGGTGCTCCCTCTACGGTTCTGTGGCTCGGAAACTCTCTGTGACTTTGATACTTTCTCCGGTTACCTGAAATCCGTGACTCCCTCTAATCCTGCAATACAGTGCCAGGTGTAATGTTTTTTTATGAAGCGGTCTTGTGTTATGCGCATGCGTGTTGCATCTGGAACGCGCAAAGCGCCACAGATCCGCCCACTTTTTCACTGCAACGAACGGCGGCTAGGACAGAGCTGAGGGAGAGAAATGGAAACTGATGAAAGTCAGTCCCCCGGAGGGGCTAGATCTGCCCCGCTTCTTTCCTCCCTCATACAGACTCGCTCTGTGGAGCTAGTTCTGGCTCCCATCGCGTCTCAGGTACAGAGATCAGCGTAGCCGCATGGTCGCTGACAGTCTCCCGCCCTGCTAACTAACTGCGTTAGGTGTCGCAGCTGATGATCCTGACCAAAACGTGCGGCCGGAGTCTGTTCCCTGACTTGGAGTCCAGCGCCCTCTCTGTGATGGACGCCGTCCAGCACATGGTAGACGTAGGGAAGAGAATCACTGCTGAAACACCAGACGAGGTGCGCCCCACTAGCTAGCTATAGGTATACAGCTAGCTAGCTAGAGACAATTGATGCTTCTTGTTTTCCGTACACAGGGGCTCCGGGAAGATCTTCCCGTGGCGTGCTCTCTTGCTCTTCGTGCCGGCGAGCAGCTGGTGGAAGCAACAAGGAGCCTAGCCAGAGAGCCGTCTTCTGGGACAGCTCAGCTCTCGCTCAACACGGCCGCCCAAGGAATACTAGAGGGAACTATGAAGGTTAGCGGTGCATTTCCTGAGAGAGAGATTGTGAACTGAAAAGTTAGCTAATGATCTTGTCCTGATCTTGTTGCAGGTTCTACTGGTGTGGGACGAGGCAGAGGTTAGAAAAATCATCAGCGCTGCCCACTGGACCCTCGATCGCCTTGGGCTGGTCAAGGTTGCCAAGTCAATGCGCAGTCTTGTCATCTGTTTCGGGGTATATATGTATATAGAACAACTGCCATGTCTATAGTGACTGTATATCTTACTACCTTCAGGGTCTCTCAGAGGCAATGGCTCTACTGCTGAGCCTGGCAGACAAGAGGCAGAAGGACCTCACCGACTACAAGAGGAAGGAGCAGGTCCTCTCTGCACTCTCCAGACTCAAAGTCTCTCTCACTCCCTTCTGCGAGGTCATGAAGAAATACGTCAGGGATCCCAGCGACGTTGCAACACAGGTGATTAGCTGCTAAGTATAAAGTTGTTTGAGAACTGTTAGTATATGGGGAGATTTGAGCAATGAAGAGGAGAGAAATCTGACCCCATCTCGCTGTCCCTATTTTTCTACATCTCACTGTCCGTATTCCTCGCCACATGATCAGCCCCCATTAACACAGAATCTTCGCAACGTCAAAGCAAACCAGGTGTCCTCTGCGATTCACGACCTCATCAAAGCGGTGAGCCCCTTGGACGAGGCTGAATCAGCACCAGACAACATGGTCACCAACATCATGGAGGTATAGGCTCACACAATGTGTATATACCCCACAAATGGAAGCAGATTGTGATGAGGAAGCTTAATAATTCGATGAAGGTCCATCGAAAGCTGGCTCCGGACAGTCGCTATTTCATAGGGCCTGATCTGGACCGTCACCTGGATGCCATTCTCCAGAACTCTATGGCCGTTGCACACGTCAGTCGTGATCGCTACCGTGAGACCATCCTCCACCTCTGTAGTGAGGTACAGTATATACATCTCTCTCCATCACTGTAGACAGACAGTCTACCTTTTATGCTTCCTCTACAGGTGTTGGCACTTAGAAAGAAACTTGGAGAAAACCTGGCAGTTGTCATGGAGTTTCCCAATTCCTTGGAGGCTCGGTAATAAAGACTAGAGCACACGAAATACACAAGTGCCCCACACAGTGCACATTATAGACATATGTCTCTTCCCCACAGGGCTGAGTTTGATGCGACTGCGGAGGCTCTGTGTGAGAGGTTGTGTGAGATAGATCAATGGGTGGCAGATGCAGTGGTGGACCAGATCACAGAGGTGTTTGTGGAGCCGTCTGCCCCCGTACACCACCTAGTCAGGGCCGCAGCTCACAGCCCCACCACCTCCCCTGGAGTGAGTGATACTATACCTGATGGTGGGAACCTTTCGAGGGAGAGAACTTTTGCATTCAGTAGGCAAGGTCCCAATTAATCCATGCTCAGGAAGCTATGTGGAACGGGACTTAGGCTTTTCATGCAATTTGTTAGCTAATAGTTTCCAGCATTGATTGTGTGTCCGCGTATGTTCCTGCCACAAACATGAAAACTTTCCACGGGATGGCTTTCCTTGGCTCAGTTTGTCACCAAGCCTACTCACAATCTCTCCTGCTTGTTCCCTCCCAGTCAAGTCCCGAGATCAGTCCGTCTTCGTCTCCGACCCACCCGTCCGACCAGGAGAGTGAGACTCGACTCACGAGGCAAGTGGAGCTGTTCAGAAGACACTCCCGACGGCTGAGTCAGGTCGCCGGCCACGCAGCTCAGAGCTCAGCAGACTCCAAACGTGAGTTAGCACTGAAACTGCGTACTACTAGAAATGTTTACCTTCCCTGAAAAATGGACCAAGTTAATTTTATACACACACACCCACGAATATCAGTGAGCATCTCGACCACTGGGACTTCCTATCTGTTTTCTGTGCAAAAAAATTCTACTTTCACCCACGAAATGCGCACATTTGGGCATTAGAATCACTAACAGAGAAGGCAAAGATACGTTTTTGGCTAAAAGAGTGGATCAGATGGTGCTCTGTGCTGAAAGTCGTAACAAAATTACTGGCAGCACATTTCACCCACAGTGTTGGTGATATAACCAATCATCACATCCACTTTGAACCAGAAGGATCTGACTTGCCTGCTCTCCCCCTGCTCTTTTATCCTCAAAACCCACCAGAGTAGTTGTGGTTTTGAGCAATGAATATCATCATCTACATACCACACACACTCAGGTGTCCAGGCCATCACAGAGCTGGCAAGACAGGTGGATGAGGCCATGCCCAAGGTGGTGGAGGTAGCGGTGGCTCTGAAGAGAGCTCCCCCGGAGGACCTGATGGTGGCCAAGGCATCCCTGGACTCCGCCAGCAGAGAGTGGGCAGACAAGGTTCAGCAGCTGACGACAGCCACCTACGACATTGTCGATCCTGAAGACTTCTTGGCTGTCTCTGGTGAGCACCTTCTCCCTGTCATTTCACTCTCTTCTGTCCTTTTTCTAACTTCCACTTCTTTACACATTTAATAGCAGTAATATTGGCATTGACATTTACTGCATGTCAGGCATTAATCATGTACTCTGAAAGTTCATATCAAAAATGCCCATGTGTTACCTCCTTAAAGCCCAACAAGAATAATGTAACGTTGGCACAATAATGATCTAGCTACACATAGAGGTATATACCTAAATATATATTTTTACTCAATCACACACTCTCTCTCTCTCTCTGTCTGACCAGAGGCCAACATCCACCAGGATATGACCAAGTGTCGAGATGCGGTGAGAGGGCAGAACTGGCCCCAGCTGAGGACCCTGGTACAGGGAGTGGCAGCCAAAGCCAGGAGGGTGGTCGACATTGGGAAGATGGCTGCGGACCAGGCGACGGAGCCCTGGAAGAAAGAGGCTGTCTCTGTCGCTGGAACTAGACTGGAGAATGGTAGAACAAGTGGCTCTCTCATATGAAATACATTACTACATTTGCTCTGAAGAGACTACAGTAATGTCAGTGTCACCCATTTTTCATGTTGTCTTGAGGACATTTTTACTAACATTCTGTAGCTATTCCACGGATGGTGACCCTGGTTGACGAGTTAATCAGTGATCCTACTCAGGAGGGGACTCAGGACGGCTTTGCCCAATCCCTGAAGGAAGTCCTGGACGGCATACACTCCATGCAGGCTGCCCTCACTGCAGAGAGCCCCGACTACCACACATCTCTGGTGAGTGAGCCTCAACAACACAAATGAAATGTACGTACACTAGGCACTTACAATGCACCAACTACATATTTTTAGCGATTATGTTCATTAAAGAACAGATTATGGAGTGGCGTAGCAGGGCAATTATAATGTTTTCCCCAGGCAACATCTACGCCAATGGCAGGTCCTGCACATGAAGGATTGCAGGAGTCTCCCTTCGTTTCCCCTGTCCCACCCTCTCCCCCTCCTCCTCCTCCTTTGTCATCCCCACCTCGTACCAGGTACATTGGATCTCTCAAGAGAAAGAAGAAAAACAGGGCTGCGATCACACGAGAAGAGGATCAAACTGACAGTGGTGAGCTCCATGTGTTGTGTGAAGGTCCATTAGCTCAGTCGGTAGAGCGTGGTGCTGATAACGCCAAGGTCGTGAGTTCGAGACTCACATGGACCATATTTTTCTTCCCTTTTTCTTCTTCTTCCCAGGAGCAACACCGGTAAGGATGGGAAATGCCCAAACTCAGACTCCATCTGCCAGTGATCGCTCGATGCAGCACGAGCAGACTCAAACGCCACCTTTTAGAGACCACTCGATGCAGCATGAAATACACTACCCCTCTGGTGAGCCATGAAATCACCACCATAGTAGACTAGAGACTAGAGCACTTTCCCAGACAGCTCTTTTTCTCTGAAGAAATGTGGTGTTGTGAAGATATACACCCGCCTTTTGTTGACACACTGTGCCACTGTTGTCGATGTTACAATCTTCTCCACAGCTCTGTTAGGAACAACCAGTGCTGCACTGAGGCTTAGTCCGACTGCTGCTGCATCTCCTCCCGGTGACACCTCCGCTGCCTCCGCAGACACCGACAGGAGAGGACGTGACGGGAACCAGCGAGAGTCGCCGGCACGCAGGACTGTCCAGGAGTACGCACGGCCGCTCCAAGACCTCGTGACCGTGGCAGAGGAAGGAGAAGTGGAAGAGCTTCAGTCACACGCGAGTGCTTTGCAGGCTCGGGCCATTCGCCTCACGAGCATTGCTGAAACTGCCGCCGAGACGGTCAGACACAACCCACAACTCACAAAGTAAGTCACACCATAGATAGAAGAGGGTCTATATGGACACATGCACACACGCAGATGTATTTGTGACATTTTATCGCCGCCAGGGTGCTGAAGACGAAGGCACGGGAGGTCAGTAAACTGACTCCGCAGGTGATTGGCCACGCGGAGGAGGTGGCGAGGGACCCGGCAGGAAGGAAGCGACAACTGGAAGACCTCCAGCTCAGCAGTCACCAGTGGGCGGGCCACGTGAGCCAGCTCATCGAGGCAACTCAGAAAGCCAACTACCCGTGGTCCAAGACTGCCGAGAGGCTGGTGTCTGCTGCTAAGAGAGGCGAAGGTCTAGAGACTCAGGTGGGCAGATTTCGAAGACGATGGTGGCTAGATAATGCACAGTATGTACATAAGAAGCTACCCAGCTTCTTCTTTCCGTTACACAGAAAAAGCATGTGAGCACTCAGACGAACAGGATGGTCAATGTTGCCATGGTCACGGTGGCGGCAGCAGAGACGGAGGAAGCCATAGGAGTGGGGTCAGGGTCCGGCGAAGACTCGGAGCGTTGTTCCCACGACCCTGATCTCATGGTGCGAGCCCTGTTCTCACTAACTAATGAGAACTCTATCCTACGTCTCTCTCTCTCTCTCTCTCCCTGTGCAGGAGCAAATCAGGCACGTTCGTGTGACGGCGTCGGAGATCCAGAAACTGACTCCAAAGCTGCTGAGTGCAGCGGACATGGCGTCTGGTCGAGGAGGTGACACGTCAGCCACCACCGAGCATCTCAACCTCCTCTCTCAGGAGTGGGCCACAAAGGTATGTATGGTATTGTGGCCTCACTCACTGCTCAGACCTGACATTCTTCAGAGCTCAAAAGTTCACTTATTGCCTGCATGTCTGATTGTTGTGGTTTATGAAGATCTTTCCATAAGAGAAAATCATAAACATAAAACGTGCATCACATGGTCTATTGTTACATGCATACTAAGCAGACGAACAATCTCCCTGCAGGCAAAGGTTCTGATGCGTGGGGTGGACGACGTGAGTCTGGGTATGAGTGGACCGGCGGACACTCTGCTCCTGTCGGCTCGGTCCGGTGACCCCACCCTTCTCTCTGAGCAGGGCAGGGCCATCACGGAGCTGGCCTCATCTCTTGGGAACATTGCCCGGGACGCTCTCGAGGGGTGAGCATCGAAATCTCTTCTTGCCACAAACTTATACCCCTCCTGAACATATGTACTTAATCCTGACAATTCAGATGTGTAATGTTTTTGAGGATATACATAGGGGCCCAGCGCAATTTCCATTGATAATGAATATCAAAATTGCTACCCTCAAACCCTCTTTCCATCAGTTGTGAGGACAGGGACAGGGCCGAGAAGGTGAGGCGGGCGTCAGAGAGAATCTCCACCACGTCTGCAGAGCTCATCAGCTGTGCCAACAGAGTGGCCCAAGAGGGGGGAGGGGCAGAGGAGGAGGAAGCCGACCCACAGCTGCTGGATCATCTCCACGAGACTTTGGAGAGTACAGAACTCCTACGTAGAGACTGGGCCTCCCAGGTACAGACATGTCTTCTTACTTATCTAGACTAGGACCGTATATACCAAGTTTTCAAGGGGCAAAGATAACTGTCAGCATTTTAAAATCTTTGCACCTTCAAACTCTACGAAAATCAGCCTTCGGTGTAGTTAACTCTGCAACTGATTTCGCAGATTCAGACACCCACGCATAAGTTTCACCCTGAAAATGTGTTGGTAGTGTCTCTCTGCAACACCCCCCTCCCGCTGTGTCTGTTTGTACATTAAGGTGCACCTGATCACGGCTCACATTGACGGACTGACGGCAAAGGTGTCGGCTCCACTGGACAGGCTGGTGGAGACTGCTCTCCAGGCCAGCCGCACCTCAAGCAAGGCCAAACAACACCTCCTCGACAAGTTTGAAAAGAGAGCCGACTTCATAAGGAACCAACTAGAAGTGGTGAGTATTGCTCGACACCCGTAGCATGAATTATTGGGGCGGATCAATACATCTGGGTACATAGTAAAAGTGTATGGTTTTGACTGGTAGAGTTTTAAACGAGGCCCATTGTACTGTTGTATTGGTCGTGTTTTTTCTCTTTCTTGGCCCCTCTTGTAGGTGGAGAACTGTTTCAATGAGGCAACGGCTACCGTGGAGCAGAGAGACACGGCCATGGACAGTGCAGCCTTATCCGTCTCCTTCCTCAGGAAAGTGACCCCACATGCTGTCGGCGCATGTCGCTCCCTCACATGTAGGCCCAGTAACTATTACATGCTTTTCTCCGTTACTGGATGACATCATTTTGCCGTAATCCTAGTACTTAAAAAATTTTTTCTCTTTTTGTGAAGACTCGTAGTATAAAATACCAAGTGTGATCAATATACAAACTGTGTGTTTGTGTCTGTTTCTAGCTGAGCCCGGTTCGGCCATGTTGGAGCATTTCAATCACCTGAGGAGACAGTGGGCCTCCAAGGCACAGAAACTACTCCACAGTCTGAAGAAGATCACCACCGTTGATATAGAACCCGTGCTAGGTAATGTATGCACATGCAGCCATAAAGTCAAGGAGCGAAATTCATTCATAGTATTGCTTTCCATATTTTTCAGCTGCTCCTGCAATTACTATACATTCACCTCTCTCGCTCTAAACAAAAATATTGTTGCACAGTTGCCTTTGGGGAGCTGATTCAGCAGCCCAAGTCAGGTCGGAGTACGCCAGGTCTGAGTGGGGGAGGCAGCGGTGCCCTCCACAAGTCCTACTCCTTTGAGGACATTGCGGAGGAGGAAGAGACCGGGAAACTGGTCGTGAGGGACCCGTCCAAACAGTGAGAAAAGTACTGTATACAGTGGAGCTTCTCTCTAAGGACACCCCTGAAATAAGGACACCTCTCTTTTTTTCCCTTTCCCCAAGGATTGTTCTAGCATGCATTTGGAAACCTCGCTAATGTAGACACATTCTTCTGTCCCATTGGTGTCATGGATTAGAGCAATTTTAATACTGTTATCATTGAGAAGTGTATATTGCTCCCACAGATCTGATCCTCACAAGAGGTATTCGGCCGCCGAAGAAGCCATGGAGATGTCACGTCACGTGATTGAGGCATCAAAACGACCAACCAGCATGGCCGTCCCTCTTCCCTCCTGGTCTCTGGACCTTGACAAAGGTCTCACTGCCTCCTCCAAATCCATTGCTGTGAGCAAGTGATTAGTCCTAGCTCACCTAGTCTATTTTTGTATAGATGGAGATATATTATATAGCACTGAATGCTACACGAATGTACGTATATTTTGATTTTGCACTCGTGATTCATGCACTCACCAGCAATCCATTACTAGTATATATATAGAAGAGCATTTTGTATATATTATAGTCCAGACCTCCCAACAACAGCAGCTACCGTATATGTAACTAAGTAACTTTTGCAATGCAGCTTGAAACACAGCATACTAAAGCCAAATCGAAAAACATTTTGTCACTGAGGTTTTTCAATTCGATATTATTTCTGTCTGGTGACTGACTGAATGTTGGGTGTGTGTGGCAGGTGGCAGCTCAGAGCCTGCGAGACGTGACTGAGGCGTTCCACGAGGAGGGGAACATCATCATCAAGGTCGCCAAGAAGATGTCACAGCAGATGTCTCAGATGGCAGAGTTCAGTCACGGTCGTGGGGAGCTGCAGGTATAAAGTTCATTACACCTACACACAGCCAGCCACATCACAGTCTGTATGGCAGGAAATCCCCCGTCTCTCTCTCCCTTACTACCTGCTAGTTTGATACACGAGTGTTTATTTCTGTCTTTAGAGCAAGACTGAGATGATATACACGGCCAAGGCCATCGCAGCCAACGGGAGAGTCATGGTCCAGTTTGCAAACCTCATCTGTGATCAGTGTACCGACGAAAGGTCTGCCTGCATGCAGCCCAACAAACCACACTGCCACGATTAATCCCTCCGTTGTTTCGTATCGTGCACAGGATGAAGGCAAATCTGCAGTACTGCGCCGAGATGATACCCACGTTTAGCACTCAGTTGAGGATCCTTGCATCTGTCAAGGCCTCCACCCCAGCAGACTCCTCTGTTAGTCCTTTGCACTAGTGTAATACTGTGACGGACGTCTGTCTCGCTATATACAGGCTGACGTCATGTTGGTGAAGAATGCTGAGAACCTGATGCAGGCAGTCATCAAGACTGTGAAGGCTGCAGAAGCAGCATGCATCAAAGTATGTCCAATGTTCAATGCTTGTTTCGCAAATTCTATAGGCAAAATCGTCCGAATGTGTCCCTTACTGTTTCACTAGTATATACACCTGCTGTTCCAAAACCGCAGATCTGTGAATTTCTTTGCTTCCTCAGGGCCTGAAGGTTCCAGAAGACAAGGCTCAGAAGGAGGCAGTCGATATGATCGTCAATTGGAAGCACAGGTTGTACCACCAGCGAACCCTGGAGACCATCAGAGCCCCCCGGGGGGCCAGGGGGCTCAGGAAATTAAACCGGAGCCACATCTCGACCCCCTCCCTTGTGGACGTCTTACAGCCCAGAGTAGTCCTCTGACGCCAATACAGTTGTTAGCGCTAAAAAAGACTGCATGCAAGACGATGTTATGTAATGTGTAAAACTTTAGCAAAGGTGAACACATTGAGAACTAACCCACACACAATGAATTAGACGGAAACATGAAACAATGAGAAAGACCAGGGTGGAGAGGGGAGGAATTAAAGAAAGTGTGGCTATCTGGAGTTTGAGCTGGCGTTGGCTGTGATGTTAGCGATGGCCATCTCTTCCTGTTCTTTGAGTCCGAACCAGAACTTGAAGAACTCGTACACTGACCAGCAGACGGCTGTGGAGGGTGCCTGGTAGACCACTCTCGCCGTCACGCCTCTAAAGAAACCCCTAACACCTGCAGTCTGGTATATCTTTGCCACAGCTCCCACCATGCCGTGGACCCTCTCCTCGGAGCGAAGGGTCCACGACTGGTGGTGAGTGTTCAGAAACGTCTTTGCCACGTCGAGCGGGTTTGTACTAGCGGCGGCCAGAGCCCCTGCACCCGCACCGGAGAGCATGTGTGAGAGAGGGTAGTACCCGCGAGTAGGGTTGAAAAAGTCCTGCTGGAACTCGTAGGTGACAAAGTGCACCACTTGAAAGGGGATGTTCATGGTGAGTTGGGTGGTGTAGCTGCGATAGAAGGCGCTCAGACCTTCCGTTTGGTACACGGAGGACACACAGTGGAAGACGCCTCGATATGGAGAGCTGTACATCTGCATTCTCTGCTTCACAACTGAGAGTGAGAAACAAGAAAGCCGGGTGAAAGTGTGAAAGTTTTTTTGCAGCTAAGGTTTAGCTCACCATCGATAGGATTCATGAAACCGTCATGTATCAAAGTGGCTATAGCACCGGCACCGCCTGAGGGATGGAAACAACAACTATATTCATGATTGTAAAAAATCAAATCAGCACTAAGATTCCAAGGCGCACACTACTCTGCTATGCCATCCAGGATGTGCACAGCAAGGGCCACTATGCTATAATGAACAGTAGTCTAGTACGACAAAGCACGCATACCGCAAGGCACAGAGATTACACACACCTTGTGCTAGTACAGTGCTCCGTGTGTTGGCCTTGGTGAGGTACTTCTTGGTGACCTCGTAGCAGGAGAAGTAGAGAGCGTGTGCCGGGCCTGCTCCCCCTGCCACCACGCCAATACCACGGAAGAGGGCCCTGGTGTGTTCCGTTTTTATGATCTTAGAGAAAGCCTCATACAGACTGCGATATTTCGCCTCTGGGCTGGGCTGTAGGACCATCATTCTAGTCTGGAATGGCAGGGAAGGGGGTTGGGAAAGAGAGTAAGAGGTACAAAATAGGAATAGGAAGTGCTAGCATGATACTTCCATATGTGTGGTGAGTGTGTGACTGGAAAGGGTTTCCTTCAGCTCATCAGGTGTCTATCCGGGTAGGTCTAGTGACCACAGCCGCACAAAGAAAGAAACAAAGTGACCCCTGTAAGATTGCCCAGCCACTTGACCTCAGTGAGTGTGCATATACGAAATCCACACCCTCAGTTGGTAAATGTCACTGTGTTTTACAATACTTCACAACGGCTAGAAAACACCATAGGAGAAAACCTGCTAACCTTGACACAGTCCACGGGGTACATGAAGCAGTGTTCCATTATGCCTGCCATTCCCCCAGCCAACAGGTGCTGCCACAGGTTGTCCGTGGGCAAGCTCTCGTATTCCGCCTCCCCCATCTCCTCGTCTTGTCGCAGACCCGCTCCCCACCGCTGCTCCTGGCCTTGTCCCGCAGTCGAACACCTTCCGCTCGACGTCACCTTGGCGTACGGATCGGGGAGATGCTTGTGCTCGTGCGAGCGAGGGTAAGGCAGGACCCGTGCGTTCTCCAGGGCTGCGAGGACCCAGTAGACTTGCAGAGGAACGGAGGAGGGAGCCTCGACGGCAGACACTCTGCGCAGAGCTCGAGTCACTAGCCGATTTGAGTGGGCGACAATTGGAGTCCAAAGCTAAGGCGGCTGCATGCACACGAACGAGAGGCAGCTAATCTGCAGGCAACAGCAGCACCCACAGACCTCTCCTTGACGCTCCGTCCCGTACAGATTATGCGGTTGAAAAATACATACTCCGGCCCTGGAGACTGGAAAAGACAGAGCGTGCTGCTGCAACGTTACGTTTATTACCGGATATTAGATCAGGCTTCCTGAACGGAAAACCGCACACTCTCGGAAATTCCCGTAAACTCTAAGCGGAGAGAGAAGGTCAAAGTCTGCTAGGTCGCTCGACTTTCTTGGCGCCAGTCACGTCTCGAGACACAGTGATATGGCGGACCCTGGTGAGTGTGCAGCCCTCTCCCTCGTCGGGGTCAGGCCTCGGAATGCACCGTTGACCCCACGTCCACATTCAGTCACGTCACACTCCTCCATTGGCTAATACATCAACTATTCACTGACTGTGTTTCTTTGACTCGTGGTGTGCCGTCTTCCAGGTGACAGTCCCGTGCAGTACATGTCTCCCTCGCCTCCCCCGGAGCCCGGGGCCTCCCAGCAGGGGCCGGCGGGGGGTGGGGACGAGAGATACAACGAGGAGGAAGAGGAGGAAGACATTTCTCCAGACCTCTGGCAAGAGGCCTGCTGGATTGTCATCAGGTCTACACCTACAAACACTTTCAGAATGAATGCAGAACCACATTGTACATGCACACTTATTCTCCACTCCCATCTCTTTCCTTGCTCCCTCTCCTTTTCCTAACCGTATCGCCATTGCCTAGCCCTTACCACCTTTGGTTTCTGTTCTCCTTCTCTCTGCCTCCCTCTCTGTCACCTCAGTTCATATTTCGAGGAGAAAGGGCTTGTCCGTCAACAGTTGGATTCATTCGACGAGTTCATCCAGATGTCGGTCCAACGTATCGTGGAGGACACACCCCCCATCGAGATGCAGGCTGAGACTCAGTATGACGAAACTGAGCCTCCTGTAAGACCTCTTACCAGCCTGTTTTATGTACCGATTTCACTGGCAGCAGGGAATACCGGTTTGACTGATGAAATACGTACGTACTGCACAGCTTAAAACTTTCGTGAAAAACTACTTGAGCGAATTACACTTCTCACTTTGGAATGGAAGCAACGGGTGTGCATGGGGAAACCCCGTGGTTTCATGACGTTTAAAGCTATGTAAATGGTACACAGTCCCAGATTGGCTATTCCCTAGCCACGGTATTGGGGAATAGACACGTGTTGTAAAAGCTGTGCGTGAGGCTCCGTCTGTTTCCCATCGTGCAGCCGAAATACTCGCTCAAGTTTGAGCAGATCTACCTGTCAAAGCCGACTCACTGGGAGAAGGACGGAGCCCCTGTCCCTCTCATGCCTAACGAGGCACGTCTCAGAAACCTCACGTAAGTATTCTACTGATCAGTGTGGGCTAGTTCTGCTGCCATGGAAAACCGCTTAGAAAAGTTGTATAGAAGTGGTTGTCTATGGTTGGTCCTTACTACAGAGCTCACTACATTTCAATGTTGTTTAAAGAGTTAGTTCCCTGATCCATATTTCTCCCTGTCTCACTCCAAATGTCCCGTTATCTATGTAGCTCCGAACTTCGCCTCTCTCCACTCTCTCGCTCCAACCTATACGGTCACTCTGTCTTTTGCTACTACAATTTCCCCTTTCTCCACGCTCAGTTACTCTGCCCCACTCTACGTTGACATCACCAAGACGGTCCAGCACGAGGGAGAAGACCCGATCGTACACCAGAACCCCAAGACCTTCATCGGGAAGATCCCCATCATGCTCCGATCCACCTACTGCCTCCTCAATAACCTCACGGACCGCGACCTCACAGAACTCAACGAATGTCCCCTCGATCCCGGCGGCTATTTTATCGTCAACGGGTCAGAGAAAGTCCTCATTGCGCAGGAGAAGATGGCGACAAACACAGTCTACGTCTTCTCCAAGAAGGAGTCCAAGTACGCCTACACCGCAGAGATCCGTTCGTACATCGAGAACTCGACTCGCCCGGTCAGCTCGCTGTGGGTGAGCCAGCTGGCGAGGGGAGGGGCCGGGAGCAAGAAGGGAGCCATGGGGCAGTGTATCGTGGTCACTCTGCCCTACATACGGCAGGAGATACCCATCATGATCGTGTTTCGCGCCCTCGGTTTCGTGTCGGATCGCGACATTCTGGAGCACATAATCTACGACTTCCAAGACATGGAGATGATGGAAGCAGTAAGTGAAACACCAGAGAGAAGTGGAGAGAGGGAAACACTAGCAGCCATAGCACTACCATAGCACTGGGTGGAGCTGCAATATACAGAGGGGGAGAATCGATAAACCCCTGTTAATGATTCCTTTGTCTGCAGTTGAAGCCTTCGCTGGACGAGGCCTTTGTGATCCAGGAACAGAACGTTGCTCTCAACTTCATCGGTGTTCGTGGGGCAAAGCCGGGTGTGACTCGCGAGAACAGGATCAAGTATGCCAAGGACATCCTGCAGAAGGAGCTGCTGCCTCACGTCGGGATCAGCAGCTTCTGCGAGACAAAGAAGGCCTACTTCTTGGGGTGAGTCGGTAAAAGATAGCGGGACACTCGGGTAATGAAGAGCTGAGGAGAGTGAATGGCATTTTAGCTGGAGACTTTCGAGGGAGCGAACCCTTGTAAGTAGTTTCTGAAACGACTGTTGTTGTATGTAGTATTGTGGATGTGAACCATGTGTACTCTGGAACAAGTGTAATCCATGAATGTTCTCTCCTCAAAGAAATTCACCAGATCTTGAAAGATTTTCCCTCAAAAGCTTACTCAAAAGCTCCCTTGATCTTACTGTAGGTACATGGTACATCGACTGCTGCACGCGGCATTGGGTCGAAGGGAGTTGGACGACAGGGACCACTATGGGAACAAGAGACTCGACCTGGCCGGGCCTCTCCTTGCGTTTCTCTTCAGAGGGTGCGTGGCTAGCTCTCCCGGTGTACTGATAGCCAGCCCCGGTTTCTGTTCGTTTGTTCTTGTAGGCTCTTCAGAAATCTGACAAAAGAGGTTCGGATGTATGCCTCAAAGTTCATTGACAAAGGAAGGGTATGCATTGTACATACTGCGCACACAATTTGTAGACCTCTTGGCATATTGAAATTCTATTCTTATCCAAAAGTGTACTCCTCCCCACTGTGCACTTACAATTAATAACTGATAACAGTAATGTTTGAAAGATCGTTGAGGTTTTTTCATTGGCACTAGATTTGTTATGTATGTAGGCAAAGTCCCCAATTGTTAACCTCTGAATATCAATGTGTGTCCATGCAAACTTCTTCTCTCTGTCACAGGACTTTAACCTGGAGCTGGCCATAAAGACGAGGATCATCACAGACGGCCTCAAGTACTCTCTGGCCACTGGGAACTGGGGAGACCAGAAGAAGGCCCACACGACCAGAGCGGGAGTCTCTCAGGTCAGCCCCACACACCCTATTCACACAGTGTGCCGTTTGCGTCTCTCGTTGTATTGTGCTGTACATATGTGAGGAGTGCGGGGTTTACCTCTGCCTTGTTTTGGGTTTTATTGTGCTACAGAGCCCTTCCTGCTTTTCTATCTACCCATATACCCTATGTAGCTCCGTAGGACGAGTGCTCTGCTTTTAGAGCAGAGTGTTGTGGGTTTGAGCATTCATATCATCTGCATCTGAGTTCACCCATGGTGACAGCTTGTAGCTCTGTAAGACGAGTGCTCTGCTTTTAGAGCAGAGTGTTGTGGGTTTGAGCATTCATATCATCTGCATCTGAGTTCACCCATGGTGACAGCTTGTAGCTCTGTAATACGAGTGCTCTGCTTTTAGAGCAGAGTGTTGTGGGTTTGAGCAATTCATATCGTCTGCATCTGAGTTTTGCCCATGGTGGCAGCTCTTTTTTTTGTTGAAAAAAGTGCTGTCTTGTTACAGACACTTGCCTTGCATGCATCACACCTCATAATCCATTCAGTCAGCGCGTTTATTCATAGAAGTCACGCTAGTATACAAAACCTGCAGGTGTTGAATCGACTGACATTTGCGTCCACCCTCTCTCACCTCCGTCGACTCAACTCCCCGATTGGTCGCGACGGGAAACTGGCCCGACCTCGTCAGCTACACAACACTCACTGGGGCATGATCTGCCCTGCTGAGACCCCCGAGGTCTGTAACTACTGACATACACTTTCAAGAGAGAGAACACATTTTATAAGTACAATTGGGAATTTTAACAGGGAAAAAGTACACTAGTACCTAGGGACACTTGCCCAGTTTGTTGAGGGTATTGTTATAGTCCTGCTACTATGAGACTGCACTCTATCTTTCTGCGTGTCTCTCTGTGTGTGTGGTGTGCAGGGGCACGCGGTGGGTCTGGTAAAGAACCTGGCACTGATGGCCTACATCAGTGTGGGGAGCCAGCCCAGCCCCATTCTGGAGTTCCTGGAGGAATGGAGTATGGAGAACCTGGAGGAGATTGCTCCCTCCGCCATACAACAGTCTGTCACTAATCCTCTATACCTTCACCATCGTTTCAAAGTCCGTCCTCTCCTCTCCTCCTAGTGCGACGAAGATCTTTGTGAATGGGTGTTGGGTGGGCATCCACAGAGAGCCTGAGCTCCTCATGAGCACTCTCCAGAGACTGCGGAGACAAATGGACATTATCGTCTCTGAGGTACGTGCTCTATAACTGTATTGCAAGTGGTATGCATGTAGATGCATTTGTACTGTAGATAGGTTTTTCATATGCACTAACTGTTGTGGATCTCAATTGCACCAGCTAGTATAAAACAGCCCTGAAAATCAGATTTGATGCTGACTCCGTGTGGTCTTTGTAGAGTATAATACTTACTGTGAGGCATACGGGAGTGCTGGGATGTGCAGAGTGCACTACAGCTTGTGTGTGTGTGTGTAGGTGTCGATGGTGAGGGACATCCGTGAGAGGGAGATTCGTATCTACACTGACGCGGGGAGGATCTGCCGGCCCCTGCTCATTGTGGAGAACCAGAAGCTGCTGCTGAAGACGCACCACATCCAGATGCTGAAGGAGAGAGAGTACAACAATGCCAGGTCTAGTGGTAAAATGCAAGCGTAGCTACACACACACACACATTGTGTAGAACAAGGTTTGTGAAAGACTGAGAGGTGACTGATCCTTGTGCAAGTGAGAGCTCAGAGTTTGCAGATGATTGTCTGCTTGCAGAAGAAGCATTTTGCTATTGTATAAGATTGAGATTTGCTGGGTTTAGTTGATTTGTTTGCTTTTCCTGTGCATCGCAGTCTCGTTAAGTTTGCTTGTAAGTATACATAAGTAGACCTTCTCTCTCTGTTTGTGTGTGTGCCTCAGTTGGCAGGACCTGGTGGCTCGGGGAGTTGTCGAGTACATCGACACTCTGGAGGAGGAGACGGTCATGATAGCAATGACCCCGGAGGACCTCATGGAGAAAGGCCAGGGCTACTGCTCCACCTACACTCACTGCGAGATCCACCCTGCAATGATCCTCGGTGAGCCCCGCCACCCTCTGCCAAACACGGAGTCAGAGCGTCTTTCTCATAATCTGTTTCAAACACGACCAGCCTCAGTATCTTCCTTTGGAACACACCAGAACGTAAACACCAGCCTCAGTACAGTTGCATATGATTATTTCAAGAAGAGCATAATAATGTTTAACATCCCTGCTAGGTCTCTTGCTAGCGCATGTTCCGTAAGCAAATTCGTGACTTCTAGGTGTAAGACATGTGTGAACGCTACAGTTATTAAAATAATGATACACTTTATGTGTGGTGTGCAGGTGTGTGTGCCAGCATCATTCCGTTCCCTGACCACAACCAGTCTCCCAGGAACACCTACCAGTCTGCCATGGGGAAGCAGGCCATGGGTGTCTACATCACCAACTTCCACGTCCGTATGGACACCCTGGCACACGTTCTCTATTACCCCCAGAAACCTCTGGTCACCACGCGCTCAATGGAATACCTCCGCTTCAGGGAGCTCCCCGCCGGTAGGTGTATATGTACTGTGTCCTGTTTGTTACAGCACCCTATCTAAAGCTTTAAGGTGCAAAATTTTTAGGTCTAATGCGCAAAAGTTTTCCACCACGATGAACAAGAATCTGGACACTAGTAGCTGAAATTGCTCAAAAAGTGTGTAAAGCTGCTGATCAGTTTCCCTCAAAATTGTGCTGTGTTGAATGTTTTTTTGTTGACTCTCCTCTCCTCTTCCCCTGTGCTCCGTAGGTATCAATGCTATTGCTGCTATTCTGTCGTACACGGGGTACAACCAGGAGGACTCTGTCATCATGAACGCGTCGGCCATCGATCCGCGGCCTGTTTCGCTCTGTGTTCTACCGCTCCTATCGTGACGAGGAGTCGAACAAGGGCTACGGAGAGGAGGAGACCTTCGAGAAACCCTCTCGTGAAGATGTCAGTGGTGAGTTGCATGTCTCGCACGCGCAGTGTCATGTGACGGTCACATGACCATTCATTGTGGCACAGGTATGCGGAATGCTCTGTATGATAAGCTGGACGATGATGGGATCATAGCCCCGGGGGTCAGGGTGAGTGGCTCTGACGTCATCATCGGCAAGACCATCACTCTACCTGAGAATGATGATGATGTAAGACCTCATCACAGATGACCATACTTAACCAGGATGGCATATGTGAACATACAAGTATAAAGCAGTCGACCATCGTTAAGAAAGTTGGTGTTCTGGTCCTACATACTTGATCTCTTCACACAGATTTGTAGTACATAAGTACAATTCTACTAAGCACTGAGTGCATCGAATGATTTCCTGTCCCCTGCAGCTCTCTAGCACGGCCAAGAGGTATACGAAGAGAGATGCCAGTACATTCCTCAGATCCAGTGAGAACGGAATTGTCGATCAGGTAAACCATGTGCATCTTAAGCTCACACACACACATGACGTGTAGTAAACTGGCCAAACGGAAGGAGCCGCCAAAACATTCCCTTCCACACAAACAATCAAATACACACACACACGCACACACACACACACACACACACATTAACTGTGCAAATCATACACTGTAGTATATATATATACTTCAGTCTCAGACCTGAAATCTTCCCTGTGTCTGCTCAGGTGATGTTGTCGGTCAACCAGGACGGCTACAAGTTCTGCAAGATCAGAGTCCGCTCCGTTCGAGTCCCCGAGATAGGAGACAAGTTTGCCAGTCGCCACGGGCAGAAGGGGACCTGTGGCATCACCTACCACCAGCAAGACATGCCGTTCACCTGCGAGGGCATCACCCCCGACCTCATCATGAACCCCCACGCGATTCCCTCTCGAATGACCATCGGACACTTGATCGAGTGCCTCCAGGGAAAGGTACTGTACACTGTAGTGTGAGGTGAATTTCGTGGATAATTTGTTTAAAGTTTTTCTCTGCAAAATTGTGTGTTTGACATTGAATTTTCCAACAAAAAAAACTTTCTTCTTCCTGTTGTGTAAAGAATAACTTTCTTTGGAACCATTGCTGCTTCTTTTTCGAACGAAGGAATGCTGATTGCATATTTGAAACTCTGCTGCATGTGTCTATCGATGCAGGTGTCGGCCAACAAGGGTGAGATTGGCGACGCAACTCCATTCAATGATGCGGTGAACGTGCAGAAGATCTCTGAGCTGCTCAACGACTACGGCTACCACAAAAGAGGAAACGAGGTCCTCTTCAATGGCTTCACCGGGAGGAAACTGAACACTCAGGTACGCACACGCAATGACTCAGGCTTTTCCATGGACGTCACTGTACTACAACTCAACAAAAATATCAGGGAGCTAACATCGTTTTTACTTATCGCAATATTGTCGGGAAACGAAACTCATACAGGTTGCCATTCCCTCTGTATCACAAGCTTGGCTTCAGTGATTAAGACTATGTACTTCTAAAGTGTGAGAAAGGAGTGACTTCTACTTGATGTGTATTTGTTCCACGCACAACAGTGTGTCTTCTCCTCCACTATACAATGTAGGTGTTTCTGGGTCCGACCTACTACCAGAGACTGAAGCACATGGTGGCAGACAAGATCCACTCGAGGGCCCGCGGACCTGTGCAGATCCTCACTAGGCAACCCATGGAGGGAAGATCACGGTATGTATATGAGCCTAATCTCTTCAAGGATTGCCATTTTCTGCCCAGTATGCTCTGCATTCACGCACTATGCATAAGTTTATGACAATGTGGAGTGTTTGTAAGGTTCCAGATGTGTTTGCGTAGTGTATTCATTTTTCTCCTGCCTTCAGTGACGGTGGACTGAGGTTTGGCGAGATGGAGAGGGACTGTCAGATTGCACACGGAGCGGCCCAGTTTCTCCACGAGCGACTGTTCACGGTGTCTGACGCCTACAGAGTCCACGTCTGCGACATCTGTGGACTCATCGCCATCGCCAACCTCCAGACCAACACATTTGAGTGCCGCGGCTGCAAGAACAAAACTCGGGTCAGTGACGGAGCTTTGCATGTGCCTTCAAACATACAGTGGAAAACTCCAAAAAGTATTATTTTGCACACAAAAGACATGACCCTTATTTGGAGGTTTAGCTCTACACTTTTGAGTCTAGCTCTTGTTCTGCAGATTTCCCAGATTGAGATTCCCTATGCCTGCAAACTGCTGTTCCAGGAGCTCATGTCCATGAGCATCTCCCCGAGGATTATGACATCATGAACAACGGCAACAACCCTCAATTCTGGACTTAATTTTTCTGCATCAAATTTGCATTGTGACACACGTACTTAACTTTATCATGATGCGACGTCTTGTGGTGGCGTTGTGCGCGTGCGCTGCTGCACTTTGACCTTTTCACGCGGGCAAAGCGAATTGTCTAGTCAAAGAGATGCCGTCAAACGTCTTCCTGGAGCTGCAGGGGAGGCAGTGGCGGCAAGTAGAAGGCTGGAACGTCAAGCGGCTCGGCCAGTTTGCGGAAGAGAGAGCGCTTCTCGGCCTACGCAAGTCAGTGAGTCCAAATCCGTCGACAGAGCTAGTCCCATAAAACGGCATCCAATGATATATTAGTGGTGCTGTCGGAGTGTGGTCAAAAACAAGCAGTCTACGTTGGCTCTTGCCTTCTCCTGTGACGGGTAAGCCTACAGCAGATGTCCCTGCAACCATTTGTGCCTTTGGGCCCCAGGAGTCTTTTAGCCAGCAGTCACCTCACTCATGAGATCCTCGTCTACAAGACGAGGTCATGCATCAGTCTGCTGCGTATCCTGTCGGCTCACCCGGCCACCAACCGCAGTCCGTGGTGCCTCACCTTTCACCCTTCACGTCCCCACCACCTCCTCTCTGGCTGTCTCGGAGGCTCCGTTCTACTCTGGGATGTACAGGTGTCTCTTTTTTAAAACCATTATAGTGGGAATCTTCGAGAGATCGGTAGAAAATTTCACAAAGACACAGATTGCTTGTTGGTCCCGCAATACAGATGTCAAAAATTTCGCTGACAATTTTTACACAACGTGTTCAACTTTAGGGGGGGTGGATGTTACAAACATGTGCACTTATTTCACCCAAGCACTTACTACTCACACAATGTGCTGGGCACCTTCTTAAAAATCTTTTTCCATCTTTTTTGTTGCAAACCCTGTGTTTGTGTGTGTTTCATAGGCCGGCAAGTGTCTATTTGTGTGGCAGTCTGGAGTAGCCAGTCCCATCAATAGCTTGGTGGTCCTTCCTACACACCCCGACCACTTCCTGGTGGCCTGCGACACTCGACTGCATCTCCTGCACCATCGCGGCGACCGCTTGGGGGTGGTGTGGTCCGCCAAGACTGCCGCCATGGACGTCAAAGTCAGGTGACCACACCGCACCTCTAATTATGAGTCTTGCGAAGTGCTCCACTCTCTCTCTCTCTTCTTCTTCTTCTCTCTAATGTACCCTGACCCAGGTTAGTTCTCCACCATCCAGAATCCAGCAAGATCCTTACAGCTGTAACTAACGTGAGGGATACCTCTAACCTGTTCATTACTGTCGTTCGCGTTTTCCCTAAAAGATCACCCAGTCATACGAAAGCAGCATGACCAACTTGATGTAAGTTGGTCAACATCAGTTGCTGGATTTGAATGCTATAATGTGCTATAATGTGCAATGTTCTCAGGAGGATTCCGCCACAAAGGAGCTCATATCGACTCCAGATGTACACCTATGGTTTTGATAGAGGCCCAGACTTGGAGAACTGTAAGCTCCTACTCAATGTACTAGTAGCCAGTATCATCCACGCATTATCAAGGCTCTTATGTGTAAGGCTCTGAGTTAGCATACATTATCAAAGCCCTGATGCAGTGTATATAGTCATCCATAAAACGATATCCGAGGCTCCTCTGTGTTGCAGCTAGTATGGGACTGATTTCCATGGCCGTCCGCGTGCTGAGTCCCCAGTCGGTGGTGCTGACGTCCCGGTTTGTCATCTCCAGCAGTGTGGAGACAGCCGGGACCAAGCTATCGATCCACTCCGTCGAGAGAAACAGCTTCGGGCAGTGCCTCTTCTCAACCATGGTCACTCCCAAACATAGTAAGGCATCCACATGCGTGTACGACTGACTAGTTCCATGTATATGTGATAATGACAAAACCAATGCACTTCAATGTGAAGAGCAACATTCAAGATATGGATTTGCTTGGTGCACTGGACACTCAATACTATGAGTTGTCACCTCTCTCACCTCTACTTAATCCCCTCCTTCTCCTCCTCTCTGCAGTGGGTGTGGTGAGTCTAGACTTGAGTGCATGCCAGAGATTTCTGCTGTTGGCATCCTCAGGGAAACAGTTTCTATTCCACATGGAATCATACCATGTACTGAGCTGCAACGCAACATACACCTACATGTGTGTCTCATGCTGCTAATTTCCATGTCATGCAGTCGTGTCTAAAGGTCTTTCAGGTCGAAGAGAGTAAATCGTCACTTTCCCTCGAGGTACATGTAAAAGTAATGTTGAGCATGAGACGCTAGGAAATATTGCACCACAGTCTTAGTAACTGAAGCTGTATCTGTGGAACTGTGACTTTGATATTTAGTTGCGCTGTGAGATGAGGGGAGTTTACTCGGCTAACGGGGCTCGCTGGATGCCGCGACAGAGTGGCAGAGTGGGGGGAGTGTGTGTCGGGACCCAGCAGGGAGGTGTGGTTTGGTGGGGAGGACGGGAGGGAGGTGACAGGTTGAAGAGGGGAGGAGGGGAGGGAGGAGGAAGTGAGGACATTACTACAGACTGCAGACTTGAGTGGTTTGACAAAAAATGACTGACTCGCAAATCTTCACCTACAAATCATCACCTAAAAATCATCTCCACATTTTTTTATGACAAGAGTTTAAGAGTCAATGTTTTGTCCAGATTCATCATGGGAGGAGCTGCTGCCACTCCCTCTAGTGGGAGACGTATAGCGTCGATTGGGTTTTACCCTCCGGTTGTACCTGCAACAGAGAGCCTTATGTGAAATGCACTCCTGCAGACTATACCTACATACCTTGTGACTACCACAGGGGATGGGGATTTCTGTTTGAAAGCGGGAGATAGTTTCCTGTCTTCTTGCATTTGTTTTCCGCTCGACTTTCCCTTCGCTTTCTTTTGTGCAGGGCTGCTGGACCTACTCTTGTTGTTGCCTCCTGCCACCTCTTCCCTCACTTCCAGAGCCCTCTTCTGTCCCACGAGTCTCTTCGACCAGCTCTGAGGCTCACTCGACTGCGACAGAGAGCTCTCTGCCTGCCCTGACCTCTTATCCCGGTCCCTCCCTCGCTTTCTCTTCCTTCTCCTTCCCTCCCCTTCCACCTCCTTGTCCTCCTCTTTCACCAGCTGTTCCGTCTCTGACTCGTATCCCTTCTCGTCATCCGAGTTACCGTGCCGCCGTGTGCTCGCTGAGTCTTCATCGGAGCTGGACTCCAGCACACGCAGTCTCTTGCGACCACCCCCACTGGTCTTTGGAGAAAACTTTGTCCTTTCCAGGACTATTGCCATCTTCCTGCCGCGACGTCCAAATGGTGCAGCAGCTGTACCACACCCAGAATCGCTGTCTTTGGCAGAGCCGGTCGCCTCACCTTGACTCTTGCTGGTGCTGGTGGGTGTGTTGGTTGTGGTCTTTTCGCTAGCTGTCTTGTTGGTCTTTTCGTCGCTTGAATCTTCGTTCACAGAGGCCAGTCGGGCACTTCTTCTCTTGGGGAGAGACTGTTTCCGGCGATGCGAGCTGCCTCCCGTCATCACTGGATCACTTGCTGCGTCGTTCCCTTCCTCTTCTCTTCCCTCCTCATTGGCTTCGGCCTTCTCCTCTGCATCCACCTTTGTGTCTGATTTTTTCACCTTCTCCGTCTCAACCTTTGCTTCCATTTCTGGCTTGGTCTCTTTACCAGCATTAGCACTCTCATCTTTTGCACTGGTCTTTTTTGCGGGATCTTTCTGACCCTCCTTTGCCACTACCTCACTTCTTCCAGTTGTTTCAGGCTTAGCTTCCTCTCTGGCTACGACAGCACTCTCGTCTCTTGCACCTGTCTTTTCCTCTGTCTGCTTGGCCGTCGTCTCCTTTGGTTTTTCCTCCTTCACCACCTTCTTTCCTTTACTACCAGCCGTGCCCCCTTTTCCTTTCTCCTTTACTGCAAGGCCATTTTCGACATCGGTAGACTCTTTCTCTCTCCCTTCAACCTTCTCTTCGGCCGGGCTCTTGTCCTCCTTTTCTTTTTGCTTCGACCCAGCCACTTTTCCCTGGGTGTTGTTTTTCTGTGCTCCAGGTTTACCCACCTTCCCTCCTCCTCCTGTATTAGTAGTAGTAGTGGAGGTAGAGCTAGTGGGCTCACTGGCTCCAGTCTTTGCCTTTGGTTTCACTTTGACCGTTGCTTGTTCACCTGTACCGTCCTTTTTTGTTCCAACTTTAACCCCCTGCTCGCTGCCTCCCCCACTAGTCTCCTTTCTGCCAGTGTTGAGACCTGGGATGCTGATGGGCAGGGGTAGATCCAACGCTCCGACAACTTCGGGATTGCCGCCGGTCTTCTCAGGTGGGGTGGCAGAAGGAGCATTGCTGGTGGGTGTGGCTGTAGACGACGGCGTTGAGGTTGTGGCGGCGTCTTCCTGTGCAACCTTCTGGAGCGCTTTCATGGTGTCCACGATCTGAGGCAATAGGACCTTGGGCCCTTTCTTCTCCAGCGAGTTCTCCACCATGTTCTGCACTGGAATACTGATCCCTACATCTGGACTGCAATGAAGGATCCTCTAATGCATAGCTGATAGACGTGATGGAAGTGTGTTGCTCACTTTGCTATCATTTTGACAATGTAGTCCTTGAGTTTCGCCCGGACTTCGTTCTTTGTGATGTTGTCGCTCCACTTGTGGCGGTGGTCCTGCAGGTAGCGTCGGGACAACACCTCTATCTGCTCGCCGTAGGCTCTCATTGACGGCTGGCGTACATAGAGTAATTCATCTGTCATACTCAGATATAATGAGGTTACTCCATACCTCGGCCTCCACTGCAGCTAAACAGGTCTTTCTGAACTGGTCAAAGGTTCCGTCCGATTTCACCTTGTCTAGGACGGCCTCTACGGTTGGCAGTGGCAGGGAAGTATGATCCTGTTTCTGAGCTTCCATGCTTAGTTTTTGTTACGCATGCGCAACCGCCGTTGCAAAGAATTCCGTGCAGTCCGGGTTAAAAAGCATGTGACCCCTAATTTGTGAAGCCCCTCCCACTTAGCTAGTCGACGAGCGGGAGAAGAAAGTCGGGAGTCGGGCGGAGCGCTGCCACCCCCCGCCTCGAAGCAAGGAGAAAGACCCGATTTAGCTCAGTGGCTGTCACATATGAGGGAGTACGACTGGTTTGAAACGACAGGTTCTTCCAATGCACCTTGAAAGTGAGTTTGTAGGGGGGAACCGACTAAGCACTCCCTCGCATTTCTACTGATACACCCAGAACCTATGCACGGTGCACAAGAATGAGACTACAGGGAAATTTGCACGAGAGTGTGGTGTTGTTTAGCTGCAGTAGAAATGCATCAGCTTGCAATACCCATCTAACTTCAGTGAAATTGCCAACACGTCCATAGTCTTGCAGATTTTTGATTTCATTGAGGGCATGTAGTGCAACAAGTCATTGAGAGCATGTCAGTTTGTGTCTAGCGACAAGGGCTCCAAGTGTTCCCACTTTGGCCGCTGAATAGACTGCTACATCGATACCACACAACACTCTCTGGCAGCTACACCACTTTACCAACATCCAAGCCTTGCAAGACAACTCCAGTGTGTGTAGTGGGGAGTTTGACACCCCCCCACAACACACACACACACACACACACTGTTGTTCTCAAAGTCCCCTTTAGTATAAAACTCTAAACCCTTGAAATTTTTCTCTCTCTCTCTTCTTGTATGCAAAATGGCTGCAGCAGCTCGATCTACACGGGAAAGCACAGGATCTAGGGCTCTAAAGTGTACACAACCAAAGCACAGTGTCCATTGGAACTCTGTATAGACAAAGCGGGGAAGACTGAGCTCTAAGTGAAAGAGACAATTGAGAGGGCAATGGAGCAGGCAATCAAAGTGTTGAACGCGAGCAAGTCTGTGTTCAGACATCGCAGACACAAGTCGGGAGGGAAGGAGGGAGAGAAGGAGACGGAGCAGGAGTCCAAACCAGCACCCACCTCCCTCTTCCCTCTCCAGGAATTGCTGGAACAGCTACTGAGACAAGAGGCTGAGCTGTGGAAGAAGAACGAGGGACTGGTTCAGGCCAACATCAGGGGTGAGCACACTCTAACAGCTGTTGCAGGTTACTCTGTTAGTAACACACCAGTTTTGGCACAATTCTAGCATACCATTTCCCATGAGTGTGTGGTTTAGCTGCAAACGTTTGATAGTAAAACCCTCCACCGGTTTTCACAGTTTTACGAGTCCTTTGCTAGAGTTTTCTCGCTGTAAGTTGTGGACCAATCTGCAAAAGCAGAATTTGGTTACCGGAAATTTGCATTTGCTATCAAAATGGGAAACTGTGCTTCCTCAATATGTTTCCCGCTATATCGTGTACCGTCTGTTTTCTCAGTGACTGAAGCGAGGAAGGAGACCAGAGAGCGAGAGAATGCCGATCGGTCTCTCAGGGCAACCCCGGGCCCCACCCCAACTCCCACTCCTTCCCTCACCACCAGCCCTTCTCCCCACACCCCCACCGCCACACCTCCCCTCACATCTCACCCTCCCCCTGATTCCCGGGACGCAGCGGACAGTGAAACAGACAAAATGTTCTGTCTCGTCCAGTAAGTCCTTCCACAACTTCCACCGTGATCGTTTTTTTGGAGCCAGAATTTCAATGAAACTGAATGGATCTACAGCTGTATTATCAAATATTCAGCAATTTTTTTGGGACGAGTATTATCAGGGCATTAGAGTTGTCATTTGATAAATAAATTTTTTGACCTCGAAATTTCCACAATCGCAAAATACAGTATCAGATTCAAGGAAGAATTATTGATGTATATACCCTCAATCAGATCACTCTTACATATTCAGTGGGTGGCCTGCATCGTGTCTCTGTTCGATTGTACTACAGGTATGGAAGGCTGACAGACGATATTCATCGCTACTTCCGAAGACTCGAGTGAGATCCTGATTCAGTAGCACCTGCTGGCCTCTCTATGCCGGCCAGTAAACGGCCTCTCATCGTGTCTTCTCCATTTTACAGGAAGAGACACGCGTGTTTGTACCTGACAAAGAGAAGAGCAAAGCACGAGAACTTGAGAGTAAGCTCGGTGGTGTTTTCCTGCAGACTGAGGTGTATTCAGTGTGTGTGTCCTTTCTGCCCCCACCAGCATGTGGAGACGCAGGCTCGCTCAGACAATGACGACGGACATGGACCAGGTACGTATATACTGCATGATAAAAAATTTTGACAATCGTGCAAGAATACTGCAAAAATTGAGGATTTTTCGTTTGATGTGTTTAGAGGTACAGAGTGCTGCTGGTTATCTGTTGAATGGAGGAGCGGGAGACGGACAGTTAGTCACTCTCAGAGATGAGGTACATACATGTACATATGCACTATATAGTATGCATACTCCTGGCTGTGTCCACCTTATTAGTTAGAGATGTGGTATTCTACTTTCTAGGCTACATTGAATATTTTGCCCCTCTGGTTGCACCCCCTGTTCGTTTTTACCCTCATATCCCTCGAGAGCCTGGGATGTATCATGTTTTTGAGGTGTATCATGTTTTGAACAAGAAGAACAAAATCTCTTATCATAATATATATATATAGCTCCGTACGTCTATGATGCTATGTACCGTCCCCGGTACTCACGTAACACACCGAATTATTCCAGGAGCTGTTGGTGTTTCGAGCGGCTCTTATGTGTGCGCAGTTCCCCATGCTGAGTGCCCCGAGCCCCCCCAGAGGGGGGTCCCCGACCCCCACGCCCCCCACCGTCCCTCTCTCCACCATCGGATCTCCGGAGGTCGGAGATCTCTCTCGGACTGCACCTGCTGAAGTCAACGTGGTGGGTACAGGGAAAGGGCGGGGGAGTAGAGAGGGGACTTATTGATTGAGAAATTTTCGAAAAAGATTATTATATTATATTATATTATAATATAACCGTGATTTGGTAGCATATCATCTAGTATCACAGATTGTGTTTACGGCCATGAATGACATTGCAGCTCTGTGCATCACTGCAGTGACAAATTTGGTTATGTTATATTCAGGAGCTCATGAAGACTGCTGCAAGTCCTGCCTCTACTGGAAGGGGTTCACCTCGGTGCGTTACACTATTGTGTTTGCCCATTTCTGCCTCTCTATGACACACTTCTACATGTTCACTGTCTCTCTCTCTCTGACACACTTGTAGTACATGCTTATGTAATGCACGAGGTTACGTGTACATCAAGCAAGTCTAGTCTCAGAAATCCGAATGCGTACGCATACATTAATATGAGATGTATGTAAACTCTGGTTGTGTGCAGGCTACGTCGCTCGGTGTCGGATAGAAACAAGACGAGGTTGAGAGCGACGGGGGAGGGTCTTAAGTCGCTCCCCGTCGACAATGAGGGAGGCGTGGCCTCGGTCGATGGGGAAGAAGGTGGGGCAGACAGTAGAAGTGAAGCCGGGAGAGGTACGTAAATCTCATGTTGTGGATGAAATTATTTCGTTGGGAGAAAGAATGCCACAAGAACCCTAATCCCTTCTCAAATTCACCACAAGTTACCACACATGTATGTACATTAAAAAAAGAGCTGTCCTGGGTGTAGTTGACTTGTTTGTTGTGCCTTTGGCTTTCTACCTCTTAGTTTACTAATAATATATACAGTATATACCCGAGAGCAGGTCACTAGATACCCAGCCTTGGGAACTTGGGGTGATTGGTTGGAGATGTTCCATTACACCGACCTAATATGTAGCGTTGTTGGTGTTGACAGGGAGGACGAGACCCGGTTTGAGAAGAGTCTCCTCAAGTTCTTCAAACTCCTCCAGAAGGATTTCCAAAAGGTTGGCTATATGCAGTGTGAACACATCCTGATCCATGCATCCTATCATTCATTGTACGGTGGAAATGAAAATCCATTAATCTCAAACGTTATTTGTGCACAATGGGAAACCACCTGACCTTATGTTTTCACCACACCCAATAGAAGAATCCATGACATTTGCTTTGCACTTTGACCTGCTGCTAGTGATTCATGTACGTATATATACTGTATTACAGGTTGTCAATGGATGCAGCCAGCATGCTGCCTGCCGTTGACTCAGATGACGACGACGAACTGACGGAGCTGATTCGGCCGCGGTCTCTACGGCAGCGAGACTCCGCCCACCTCGTCGGACGGGAGCACCCGTTCTCGCCCATGGTCAACAGGTTGGCAAACTCTCTGTCTGCCACTGTCTGTCGTCATGATACACGATGCAACTCTTCTGTGTGTCATAAGAATTCTCATGCAACTACGGGTGTGATAGGCCCTGCAGCAAGCCCCACGCAATAGAAATGCCTTCTATTGCGTGGCCTATCGTAATGCGCATGTAGTACATACATGTATGCCCATACATTAGAAGTTGGTTGGGACTTAATCCTGTGAAATTATAAGGTTGCGTAGCGTATCATGGCCTCATGGTACATACGTATGTACAGGGAGATGCTGTGCAGTCTGGTGAGGAGGGCCTTCAAACAGACTGAAGAGCAGCAGCTTCAGTTGGAGCAGATGTTGAAACACGACTACGGCAGGCGGAGCAAGGGAGAGGTATACATACACACACACACACACACACACACACACCAATACTCGCGCAGCCCATTTCACTCCACATCGCAGCCCATTTCACCCCACACCGTGTCCTACTTACTGTAACCGGGACTGCATGCAATGTTCTGCAGATTCTTGCGAAGGAGCTGGCGGGACAGCTGCAGGTACTGGAAAACAACGCCCATCCTTTTTACAAACCAAAGCTCTTTGTGGTGAGTGTCGACAGAGCGTTAGTGAACTAATCTGCCTCCACGTGGAGAACTGGCAACATTGGCAGCCAATAACCTTGATGATTATTTGCCTCAAACAGCTCGGCAATTTAAAATATGTGCGAGATTAAAATTTGGTATGGTCATCACATCTGCATGAAGACGGTGAACACAGCACTGCCAAACTGCCGTAATATTAAGCAAACACAAGCGTGAAATTTTAGCGGTTTTTTATCGCATATTTACACTGCGTTCTGACTCTCGTTCACCGTGTAGACTCGGAACATAGGCTACGAGCAGTGGCTGCAGGCAGAGAAGCAGAGGGTGCGGAGTCTCATCGACAAGTTCTGGCACTTCTCCCTCCCCCGTCCCCAGCTCTGGCGTCACTACAACCCCACCGACTACCACCGGGCCTACACCCTCCTCCTCACCAGGATCATCTGGTACACCGAGCAACACTCCTTTTCCGTCCTCACTGTCCCTACCATCACTATCTCCGTCTAATTTAACCCTACCTATCTCGCCCCATCTTGCTATATCTTGTATAGGTTTTTGTGTGTCAGTGGTTGAATGTGGGTATCTCTCTTCTCCCAGTTGTGAGAGCAGGACGGAGCGACGGGAGCCTGTCCATGCAGGGAAGACCCCTTCCTCCCCTCTCTCCCCCACTGCCCAGAGACTTCTGACTGAGTTTGGCCTCAGATATGGAGTGGTGGGTGCAAACTCTCTCCCTCTATCACTCCTTTTGATGGAGACAAACGATTTAGTAGTACACTGTTAGCTGACTGGATTTCTTCTGCAGGGTGATCTCTACCGCAAGATTATCTACCTGGACTACCTAGCAAGGTGCGTATACTCTGTTCCTCTAGGAGAAGGTTTGACTGTCTCGAGAGATTTTTTATTAGGCGAGGCTTAACTGCAGTGTTAGAGCATTTAACTTGAGTACAGATACTTTGTGCGTGAGCATATGTACATGTATGTAAATAATGGTGAGCAAAGTGTGTGTCGTGTGTAGGCATTTTGACTATGAGGTGTGGTACATCCGCCACTGTACGGAGGAGCTGAGGAGCATCAGAGAGCTCCTCCCACGGAACAGAAACAAGATCACTGCAGTCAGGAAAGAGGTTCAGTTGATATAATGTAACACTACTATATTATAGTGTTTGATTGTGATGTACGTACGTGTGTGTTGTAGATGGACTTGCTGAAGACAACTGTCCATCTTCTGCACGGCCAGACCGACAACTGCCTCACTAAGATTGACCGTCTCTTTCAGGATTCACCAACCGAGGGAGTTGGTACGCTTCACCGCAATAGTCCTTTTCTTTCTCTTCCTCCTCCCTCTCCAACTTCTTACGTTCTTACCCTCCCTCTCATCTCTCCTTCTCCTTCTCCTTTCCATCTTTTCGTCTCCTCTCCTTCTCCTTCTCCCCCTCCTTTACCCACTTTCGTCTCCTTTTTCTCCTCCTCTTCCTCCTCCTCCTCCTCATCTCCCCAGCCTCCCTAATAGAGCTGCTAGCTGAGGTGCTGGATGCAGAGATGTCACTCTTTGGCAAGAGAGTTCTGACTGTGGAGGAGTGGCTCAAGAGATACCTGAAGGTACGTGTCATGTGATCCCTCATTAGTGTCATGTGACCGTCACGTGATGATATCTGCAGAGAGGGTTTGCCCTGCGTTATGAGAGACGGAAGGAGATACATGCCGATGAGACTATGAACACTCGAACAGCCAAGCCCTTTGTTCCAACCCCTGCCTTGGTATTACCTCATTTCACTACAGTCGGTACTATATAGTTTGCTAAATAACGGTGTTCTGCTTTAGGTCAATGCTTTACTACTGAGTATCAAGGATGAGGTGAAGGAATATCGCGACAAGTTTCAGCCTGTGTTCAGACGGTGAGCCAATCGACCTACAGTGTATTTATTCTTGGTGTGTGTGTGTAGGTATTTTGACATCGTGCCGTTTGCACGAATTGAGTTCTATCGTCTGATGTGTGCCGATGCCTGCAGTCTCTGCCTCAGAACCATCCACAAACCATGTGAGGACTCTCCCTGCAGACATTCACCGCCATATTCTCCCTCTCTTTCTCCGTCCATTGTTTGCCCTGTTTGTGTGTTTGTTTATTTGTGGTTGTGTAGGAGACGCGCTCTCGTCTGAACCTGGAGATGTTGGGTCTCCTGTACCGACTGAATGAGAGAGACAGCGAATGGGAGAATGTCATTCCTCCAGAGTCAGTCACACTCCCTCCTCTCTCTCTCTCTCTCCCTTTCTCACCAGGCTATGCAATTCACTGGCACATTAGCCCTACAGCTAAATACACTTTAATATACATACTGTATAACTATAGCACTGACACATTGCTCTCTGCTGTGTACTGCAAACACACAGCATGCAGCAGTGGAGACACAGCTTTCTCACCAGGCTATGCAATTCACCGCCACATTAGCCCTACAGCTAAATACACTTATACATACTGTATAACTATAGCACTGACACATTGCTCTCTGCTGTGTACTGCAAACACACAGCATGCAGCAGTGGAGACACAGCTTTCTCACCAGGCTATGCAATTCACCGGCCCTACAGCTGAATACACTTATACATACTGTATAACTATAGCACTGACACATTGCTCTCTGCTGTGTACTGCAAACACACAGCATGCAGCAGTGGAGACACAGTTTCGTTGATCTGAGTCTAATCTGGATGGAGGTGCTGGGGAAACAGATCAACAAGTGGGTCCTCAGTGCAGTCGCCAAAGACAAGGTGCACAACTGTACACAGTCCCTTACGTATCATTTTATGTACCCAGTGTGTTTTCACGAGCACGAAGGAGCTCAAAAAACTTGTCATCAAGTGGGCATTAATGGTTTCCTCCAAAACTGCTGTCCTCTCTCCCACTCCTCTTCCCTCCAGTGGACTCTGCTACATCTCTGTGGGCCCGTGGCTACCTCTAGAACTGATACTGGTGGCGGCAGTTTCCCGGCTCACCCCGTCACCACCACAGCCGTGATACCTGGAATCAGTGCCTCCCCCTTCCCTTCCCCGGGCTTCACTCCCAAACCAAACACGCCGCAGGCGAGCGTCGGGTCCATCGGGAGCCGCGGAGCCTTCATGCCGTACAGGAAGCCGAGCGGAGAGAAGAGGAGAGGGGGGAAAGAGAGCAACAGTCGGAGTAGCAGCAGCAGGCTTGTGTCTCCCACGGACAACGCCGTCAGAGCCGTCGCGGAGATTCCGGATCTCGTAATTAGAGGGGCGCACAGGAGCACCCCCACGTTGGGACCGAGTCCCCAGGACAACATCATGAAGTTCTGGCAGGCAGGGAGGCTGCAGGACTACCAACGTCGCGGGGAGCTGGAGCACAGCTCCACCGTCGAGCCCGCAGCCGAAATAGAAGTGAGTCAGAGTCCCCTACGTACATATTGGGCTTACTTGCAAGGTGGGCTCTTTTACTGTTTAAAGAAGTGAAGGTTTAAGAAACTGTGGCAAAAGTAGCAAAATGCTGTCCATGTATGTATGTACCACTAGTGTTGTTTGTGGTGCTGACATTAGCTGACTCTCAGTGTTCTGTGCAGGTGTGTGTATCAGTGTACGGAAGTCGTGACGCTTCTCCTACCAACCAGCCCTCTCCCAGTTCTCCTCCACAAGTCACACAGAGTAATAGTGACAACCCTCATCGGCAGCAGTCGTCTACCCAACAAGAGCAACCACCACCTCTTCTTAACCCCGCTCCCAGAATGCCTGAAACGGGGGACATTGATATAGGCAATGAGGGTGTCAGGGAGAGTGTAGGAGGTGAAGGAGGCAGAGATTCACAGCCAGATGGGAGGGAGGTCGACACTAGATTTGAAGCAGTAGGAACACCCGGTCTTGTCATCAATTCTGCGGCAGAGGATCAGGATCCTGTGGCTGACACCACAACCAGCAGGACCAGTGCTGGAAACGAGAGCAGACCAGTCTTGGCAATGGATCAGGGAGATAAAGAATTGGCTGGGAAGAGGGAAGACGATCAGTTTCCCAGTCCAGCTCGTTCCGACTACCGCACGCCCAGCCCCATCTCGGACCAACATCTCCGGGAGCTGTCTTCCAGTACAACTGACAACCCTGTCAACCGCACACCGGGTGAAGAGGACCCTCAGTCAGAGGTAGTCACTGGTGAAGGGGACAGAGGTGGGGACGAGGGCGAGGAGGATGATGACGGGGAGGAGGCTCCAGACGGGATCGTGTTCCAGCCACAATCCTTCCCCTCCGCCGAACCAACCACTACCACGATCGGCTCTCGGGAAGACGAAGGTGGTGCGGTCAAGCCAAAACCACGCCCAGTTCGATCCGGCGAGCCTGTGATCGCCGGTGAAGATAACAAGCCCCGTGTCACCAGCGCTTTCACGAGACTGAGTCCCTCCAGAGAGCCGGTGTTTGTAGAGGACGGCTCCACTGTGTCCTCGGTGGCTTCTTCGTTTCGCGATACCTCCAGTCACCTGAGAAAAGACTTCTCCTCCCTCTCTCTCGACAGACACAGCGACATGGAGGAGTCTAGTTTCCAGATCGATGGGGGACAACAACGGGGGAGAGGGGGTGCAGGGGACAGTGGAAGACACGTGCATGGCGAGGGGACGAGGTGGGGTGGGGTGGGGGGAGAAGGATCGGCCTACCTGTTGCCCGTGTCCAATTCTCCGGTGGACCTGGTGACAATGCTGACTCGTCTTGCCGGTTTCACCAGCACCCTCCTCGCCACTCTCACGCCCAAACTCAGACACGGAGCTGTGCCCGGTCTAGACGAGCCAAGGGTAACCAAGCCAACCCATTGCTAGCTGTATCCACGGTTTGTCCACATGGTATACTGTGCTTGAGCCTGTGTACACGCACCTGCTCTCTTTTGGGCTTTATTTTTTCACCTGGTGGATTTTGGATAAGAAAATTGAGGACCAACACTAATTTTTCTCTCCTCTCTCCTCCACCAGAGAGCCCACGATTATGCTCCAGACGTGGCCAATGCCAAGAGACAAGCCTCGCAGCAACTGAAACACGTGGAGAACACCCACGCCGAGTTCCTCAAGAAACTGCACAAGGTGTGTATGCATACATACAACACATACACGTACCAATAGAAGGACATTGGTGAATCGAGGGATCATAAACTGATTGATATACATACAGAATGCCCTGTCCCCAAATTTTACTTTCACGGACAGTTCACATACCACGAATTTGCGAAAGTTTCTCGCTCCACAACATTTTCACATAATTTTCACTGAATGGGTAGTGTGACACTTCACGTGTTGATTGAGGTATGTATTGTTGTGTGTGTCAGATAATGAACAACAGTCTGAGACTATATGCTGACAACCTGATGTGCATGGACCTCTGCTGCTGGTCCAACAGTGAAGCCACACAGCTCCTCGTTTCAGAGGTCGGTCGCCATCCTAGTGTATCATACCACACTGCACGTGCTAGAGATTTTGGTAACGGTGAATTGTGTGAACTTGGGAGCCTTTTTGGGGGGAAGTAAATATTTCGTGCATTACAGAGAGTTTCTCCCAGTGGCTGTGGTTAATTTTAAGTCACTCACGTGAACTAAAATATTATATCTTGGGTCTACTGTACTTTTCTCATGGGCGGATCAAAGGCAGCGGGTGTGTGTTAAGTTGGGTGGTTTTACCTGGGTTGGCGGCGTTGGGTGGCGTCAAACTATGCTGTTGTGTCTGGGTCCGTTGGCATGGTTGTCACGCGTCAACTGATACTGTATTAATAGGGTGGTGTGGTGTGGGGCACAGAGCTATTCGGTTACCTACAGGCGGGGCGCCTTCGTGAGTAAATAAAGAGAAAATCGCAAACGACACAAACATAATTTATAAGTCTGTCTGTCGTCAACAATCCGCCGAACAGCCCGGAGAATATCGGCAACACCATCCGCCAGAGGGATACGAGACATAGAAGGGGAGAGTCTGGGACGTCGGCACATGGTTGGAGTCAGATACGGTAGTGACTCCCATTACCTCATCCGCCCCCTGCAAGCATGGCAGGTGGAGCCCTCCGATCCCTACCCAACCATATCTCGCTAGCGTCCGAACTACTCGGGGGCAACGATACCTTGGACGGTGCAATGTCAACCGGTATTAACGTATCAAGCACCTGCACAGCAGTCCTATTGTGTTCGGGATTGAGGGTTACCAGTGTAGTCTTTTAATTCACTTTGGTGTTCGTATACACTGCCCGCCCACTGGCGATCTACAAGGGCCTCCTTTGATCGTCTTTTGCATTCCCGAAGCCACCGAGCTTTCTATACATCCCCACGAAGTAGTTGGATGATCCTACAATGGACCCATGAGAATAAAGAAATCAGCTCAATCCTTCTGAGAAGTGCTGCACCAGAGATCGCGATTGTAGTTATAACTTCACCGCAAATTTGCTAAGAGACATATTCACGAGAAGCTAGCTTCTTTCTTCAATTCTCTGGCTGGAACATACCATCCTCATTGTAATGGCTATAATTGTACTTGAAAATTTTTTGTGTCCTTTTCCTTCTTCGTGTCATATATAATCACCACGTACAACCTTAAGCGGCCTCCTCCTGCTTTTTTGTTCGCTTGTGTATACGTTATTGCCGTCAACTCCTCTGACCTGTAAGTCGATGATACAGATTATTAAACACGTGCGCCTTTTCCTATTCCCCTCCCCTTTCATTCTTTTTCTTCCTCGTGGTGTTCTGCCGACCCCCTCCTCCTCCTCCTCTCCTCCTCGCCGCATATGTTGTCTAAGGATCAACAACACCATCCGACCTGTCCATCCTTCCATATTCCCTGCCCTGCGAAACACCATCCACTTTCTTCTGCATCACTCGTGCAGGATGTGATGCGACCTGTCACACGGCTTTCGGCTAACATCTCCCGCGCGTCGGAGAAAACCTCTCAGTCAGCCCCTCCATTATCCTCCCCCACACCCCCGTCGCCTACCTCTCGGTTCAGTGGTGTGTCCGGATAGGCTTCACTCGAGGTCGCAGCTGGTCCCGGGAACCTGCGGGGACTTCTGACTGGTTCCAGTGATCAACGATTCCTCATGCCTAGAACGAAGTACAGCTAATTACGGTAACTAGATTATAATACAATCCGTGGTGTGTGTGTAAACTTTAGATTTAACTATTAATTATTAATTATATACATAATTCAGATAAAACACCAAATGTTAAAAAATGCGGCGCAAAAGGTTCGTTCAGAAGTGCACACAACTTGCCTCATTTTGTTACGCAGCCGTAAGCTTTGATCACAATAATAATGTACTCACTCTTAGCTAAACTATAAAGGAGGCCCACAATCTGACTATGCTAAACTCAAGCCAGAAAGTTGTCGGGGTGAACCAAAAACAACCAATTTGGTGATATGTGTGGTGGTGATTGTGTGTTGCTTTATTGTTGGACCAATGTAGGACAGTTCGTTAAGGTCGTTGGTCTACTCAGTAGAGAGAGAGAGAATCGGCAGTACCTCGCGCCCGGTCAGAATGACCCGAGTCATGTGTTTGCCCTCTACTCCTCGGATCCGCGCGCGGGAGACCATCTCCTGCAGACTACCACTACTACCTCCGCAGCATCCAGAGGCCACAGCTCAAGCTCCTCTGGATCTTCCAGAGAGCTACGTTGTCTGTAGGCCCATCTATTCATCATTTATATATAGAATTAGAAAAAATAGCCATAAAAATACTAAATAATCAAGTAAACAATAAAATATAATATCAATATAAGGGGTATAATACATACAGTAGTTTGGGGTAAGAAGGGGTGCTAGCATATCCATTGCGGCCAAATTGGTAACGATGAAAAAAAACGGTGGGGCAAAAACCAGAATGGGGGGACTCCATTTGTGAAACACTTTAATAAGGCACACACCGTATCACTATGGGGTACACGTAATTTGATACACTAGTGCACTGCCAATTTGGCTATGCATAGTATTTGAGGAGTGCACTAGCGCGCAGACTGGCCTCATTTTAATCCAATCTAATTTGTGGGCAACCCTCAAATATGTGGGGGACCCCCTGTACTTGGTACTACTACTAAGGGAGTAAATGTGTGAATTTTCTCTGTTGAATTGGCATATGTAAGCAGGCCGCCCCTTTAGGGAGAAGTAGTAGGAGAGAAAGAGATAGGTTAGATAGGAGCAGCCCCACCCCCGCCCCCCTTAAGGATGTACTAGGAGAGGAGTGATAGAATAGGTTTCATGATGAAGCCAGGGACTTGCCATCTTTATGGGCCAAATGCTAGTGTTCCTAATACTGTGGAAGGCTCTACTGTTAGAAGTTGTGTGCAGGAAAATGCTTGTACCCTCTCGTTTCTGGTGTGCAGATGAACACGTTCTTCCAGCCGGCCCTGTCACTGACTGCTCCTGCTGCGGAACTGAATTCTGGGGGACATAACCCGGACATCGAGAGGAGGGCTCACCCACTCATCCACGTTCCTCAACCCGCACCGCCGCGCGGCGCTGCGGCAATACATCTACCACCCCGAGTGCTTCGCAAACACCATGAACTACCTCTGGAGCTCTATACGCAGGTGACTCAGAGCTAGCCTTGCGGCATCGTTTGGTATAGACTTCACTTTTTGCACCACTACTACTATAATATATCCAGCTTCAGTACACTTTTGGCTCTCTGTACCTGTAGTCTTCTAAGGCTCTATTGGCACTGACAATAATTCTGGCTGTAAACATTAGAAGACAGTTGACTGGGTTTTTTTTGCCTTTTCCCCCCCATTTTTTGTGAAGGAACACGTGAAGAGGAGGCATAAAACGAGAGATAGATCAAAAAGCCCAGTCACCACCAGCACGTTCTCAGATGCTAACTCTCCTCAAATCGCTATCAGTGAGAGAGAACTGTGCTGTGTCATGTATAGTGTGCCCAATCTGCATGTTTGTGGATAATGTTACCTATGGATGATTGCCTATCTGTATTCACAGCTCGAGGGAGTTTGTTACGATAAGGGGGGAGGTGTGGTCCACTGTGCCATATATGACTCCCACCTGTGTAATTCATGACCCCACCTCCAATCACTGCTGTTAGAAACCTTTTTCTCTTAGGACTCACCTACTCGTCAAACCTCTTTAATACGGAAACCTTTCTTTTCCCAAGTAATATATATATATATACAATAAGGACACCTCACTACATTCTTCTTCCTTAATTAGTTTCTGGACTAGAGGGGGCCACCGTATTACTCACATCACACCGTATTCACATCCACGCTGTCCTTCTCTTCTCTCCCTCTCTTTCAGTGTACCTGCTGGCTCTGTGGATGTATGACCGATCCACCGACCACTCATCGGGCACCATCTTCAACAAACTCAGTGGCCAAAAAAAAAAAAAAG